ACAACTTCTTCAGCTATGACCTGTACCAGTGTACTTGTCTTCCTCCACCTGACACAGACAATGTACACCATACAACTTCTTCAGCTATGGGTACCAGTGTACTTGTCTTCTCCACCTGACACAGACAATGTACACCATACAACTTCCTTCAGCTATGATGAGTACCAGTGTACTTGTCTTCCTCCACCTGACACAGACAATGTACACCATACAACTTGTCTTCCTCTACCTGACACAGACAATGTACACCATACAACCTGTCTTCCTCTACCTGACACAGACAATGTGCACCATACAACTTCTTCAGCTATGGAGTACCAGTGTGCTTGTCTTCCTCCACCTGACACAGACAATGTACACCATACAACTTGTCTTCCTCTACCTGACACAGACAATGTACACCATACAACTTGTCTTCCTCTACCTGACACAGACAATGTACACCATACAACTTGTCTTCCTCTACCTGACACAGACAATGTGCACCATACAACCTGTCTTCCTCTACCTGACACAGACAATGTACACCATACAACTTCTTCAGCTATGGAGTACCAGTGTACTTGTCTTCCTCCACCTGACACAGACAATGTACACCATACAACTTGTCTTCCTCTACCTGACACAGACAATGTACACCATACAACTTGTCTTCCTCTACCTGACACAGACAATGTACACCATACAACTTGTCTTCCTCTACCTGACACAGACAATGTACACCATACAACCTGTCTTCCTCTACCTGACACAGACAATGTACACCATACAACTTCTTCAGCTATGAGTACCAGTGTACTTGTCTTCCTCTACCTGACACAGACAATGTACACCATACAACCTGTCTTCCTCTACCTGACACAGACAATGTACACCATACAACTTCTTCAGCTATGGAGTACCAGTGTACTTGTCTTCCTCCACCTGACACAGACAATGTACACCATACAACTTGTCTTGTCTTCCTCTACCTGACACAGACAATGTACACCATACAACTTGTCTTCCTCCACCTGACACAGACAATGTACACCATACAACTTGTCTTCTCTCTACCTACACACAGACAATGTACACCATACAACCTGTCTTCCTCTACCTGACACAGACAATGTACACCATACAACTTCTTCAGCTATGGGTACCAGTGTACTTGTCTTCCTCCACCTGACACAGACAATGTACACCATACAACTTGTCTTCCTCTACCTGACACAGACAATGTACACCATACAACTTGTCTTCCTCTACCTGACACAGACAATGTACACCATACAACTTGTCTTCCTCTACCTGACACAGACAATGTACACCATACAACCTGTCTTCCTCTACCTGACACAGACAATGTACACCATACAACTTCTTCAGCTATGGAGTACCAGTGTACTTGTCTTCCTCCACCTGACACAGACAATGTACACCATACAACTTGTCTTCCCTACCTACCTTCCTCCGCCCCTGACACAGACAATGTACACCATACAACTTGTCTTCCTCTACCTGACACAGACAATGTACACCATACAACTTGTCTTCCTCTACCTGACACAGACAATGTACACCATACAACTTGTCTTCCTCTACCTGACACAGACAATGTACACCATACAACTTGTCTTCCTCTACCTGACACAGACAATGTACACCATACAACCTGTCTTCCTCTACCTGACACAGACAATGTACACCATACAACTTCTTCAGCTATGGAGTACCAGTGTACTTGTCTTCCTCTACCTGACACAGACAATGTACACCATACAACCTGTCTTCCTCTACCTGACACAGACAATGTACACCATACAACTTCTTCAGCTGGCTACAATGTACACAGTGTACTTGTCTTCCTCCACCTGACACAGACAATGTACACCATACAACTTGTCTTCCTCTACCTGACACAGACAATGTACACCATACAACTTCTTCAGCTATGGAGTACCAGTGTACTTGTTTTCCTCCACCTGACACAGACAATGTACACCATACAACTTCTTCAGCTATGGAGTACCAGTGTACTTGTCTTCCTCCACCTGACACAGACAATGTACACCATACAACTTGTCTTCCCTCTACCTGACACAGACAATGTACACCATACAACTTGTCTTCCTCCACCTGACACAGACAATGTACACCATACAACTTGTCTTCCTCTACCTGATGACACAGACAATGTACACCATACAACCTGTCTTCCTCTACCTGACACAGACAATGTACACCATACAACTTCTTCAGCTATGAGTACCAGTGTACTTGTCTTCCTCCACCTGACACAGACAATGTACACCATACAACTTGTCTTCCTCTACCTGACACAGACAATGTACACCATACAACTTGTCTTCCTCTACCTGACACAGACAATGTACACCATACAACTTGTCTTCCTCTACCTGACACAGACAATGTACACCATACAACCTGTCTTCCTCTACCTGACACAGACAATGTACACCATACAACTTTCTTCAGCTATGGAGTACCAGTGTACTTGTCTTCCTCCACCTGACACAGACAATGTACACCATACAACTTGTCTTCCTCTACCTGACACAGACAATGTACACCATACAACTTGTCTTCCTCTACCTGACACAGACAATGTACACCATACAACTTGTCTTCCTCTACCTGACACAGACAATGTACACCATACAACTTGTCTTCCTCTACCTGACACAGACAATGTACACCATACAACTTGTCTTCCTCTACCTGACACAGACAATGTACACCATACAACCTGTCTTCCTCTACCTGACACAGACAATGTACACCATACAACTTCTTCAGCTATGGAGTACCAGTGTACTTGTCTTCCTCTACCTGACACAGACAATGTACACCATACAACCTGTCTTCCCTCTACCTGACACAGACAATGTACACCATACAACTTCTTCAGCTATGGAGTACCAGTGTACTTGTCTTCCTCCACCTGACACAGACAATGTACACCATACAACTTGTCTTCCTCTACCTGACACAGACAATGTACACCATACAACTTCTTCAGCTATGGAGTACCAGTGTACTTGTTTCCTCCACCTGACACAGACAATGTACACCATACAGTGTACTTGTCTTCCTCCACCTGACACAGACAATGTACACCATACAACTTGTCTTCCTCTACCTGACACAGACAATGTACACCATACAACTTGTCTTCCTCTACCTGACACAGACAATGTACACCATACACTTGTTTCCTCCATACAACACTTGTCTTCCTCTACCTGACACAGACAATGTACACCATACAACCTGTCTTCCTCTACCTGACACAGACAATGTACACCATACAACTTGTCTTCCTCTACCTGACACAGACAATGTACACCATACAACTTCTTCAGCTATGGAGTACCAGTGTACTTGTCTTCCTCCACCTGACACAGACAATGTACACCATACAACCTGTCTTCCTCTACCTGACACAGACAATGTACACCATACAACTTGTCTTCCTCCACCTGACACAGACAATGTACACCATACAACTTGTCTTCCTCCACCTGACACAGACAATATACACCATACAACTTGTCTTCCTCTACCTGACACAGACAATGTACACCATACAACTTGTCTTCCTCTGACACAGACAATGTACACCATACAACTTGTCTTCCTCCACCTGACACAGACAATGTACACCATACAACTTGTCTTCCTCTACCTGACACAGACAATGTACACCATACAACTTGTCTTCCTCCACCTGACACAGACAATGTACACCATACAACTTGTCTTCCTCTACCTGACACAGACAATGTACACCATACAACTTGTCTTTCTCTACCTGACACAGACAATGTACACCATACAACTTGTCTTCCTCCACCTGACACAGACAATGTACACCATACAACTTGTCTTCCTCCACCTGACACAGACAATGTACACCATACAACTTGTCTTCCTCTACCTGACACAGACAATGTACACCATACAACTTGTCTTCCTCCACCTGACACAGACAATGTACACCATACAACTTGTCTTCCTCTACCTGACACAGACAATGTACACCATACAACTTGTCTTCCTCCACCTGACACAGACAATGTACACCATACAACTTGTCTTCCTCTACCTGACACAGACAATGTACACCATACAACCTGTCTTCCTCCACCTGACACAGACAATGTACACCATACAACTTGTCTTCCTCCACCTGACACAGACAATGTACACCATACAACTTGTCTTCCTCTACCTGACACAGACAATGTACACCATACAACCTGTCTTCCTCCACCTGACACAGACAATGTACACCATACAACTTGTCTTCCTCTACCTGACACAGACAATGTACACCATACAACTTGTCTTCCTCCACCTGACACAGACAATGTACACCATACAACTTCTTCAGCTATGGAGTACCAGTGTACTTGTCTTCCTCTATCTGACACAGACAATGTACACCATACAACTTGTCTTCCTCTACCTGACACAGACAATGTACACCATACAACTTCTTCAGCTATGGAGTACTAGTGTACTTGTCTTCCTCCACCTGACACACACAGCAACACAACACGTACACAACACAACATGTACACAACACAACTCTTGCAGCCAGGTCATACCAAGACTTCACTTCCTCCATGTAATATATACCAGACAATTTGTATACCATACATTCTTACGTATTTCCTTTTAGAATGACTCCTGGCATCTGTAGATCCTAACTCCCCTCATCCATGATTCAAGTGTCTCAGTCTTATGAAAGAGAGGACTACTGATTTAAGATGTTTACATGTCAGCACCTTCTACTACATACATCAGTCAAGTTCAATGTAGGAAGCAGGTAGAGGACAGTGACTGAATGTATGATGGCCTCACCTGAGGTCTATTCACTGCTTCCTTCCCCTGCCTTACCTTCAACTCTACACTTGCCACCTGAGGAAACCTTCCCCTGCCTTACCTTCAACTCTACACTTGCCACCTGAGGAAACCTTCCCCTGCCTTACCTTCAACTCTACACTTGCCACCTGAGGAAACGAGCCACAGGAGAAGTTGCCACCTCGTACACCGAGACCCACACTGGAGGACAACGTGTCGGCCTCTAGCTGGGCAATCACCTCCTCATGGGACACCAGCTCTGTAGACAGAAACACACAAGTTAGATCTTGCCACCGCGTACACCGAGACCCACACTGGAGGACAACGTGTCGGCCTCTAGCTGGGCAATCACCTCCTCATGGGACACCAGCTCTGTAGACAGAAACACACAAGTTAGATCTTGCCACCGCGTACACCGAGACCCACACTGGAGGACAACGTGTCGGCCTCTAGCTGGGCAATCACCTCCTCATGGGACACCAGCTCTGTAGACAGAAACACACAAGTTAGATCTTGCCACCGCGTACACCGAGACCCACACTGGAGGACAAGCGTGGCCGGCGGCCTCTAGCTGGGCAATCACCTCCTCATGGGACACCAGCTCTGTAGACAGAAACACACAAGTTAGATCTTGCCACAGCGTACACGAGACCCACACTGGAGGGACAGCGTGTACGGCCTCTAGCTGGGCAATCACCTCCTCATGGGACACCAGCTCTGTAGACAGAAACACACCAGTTAGAACTTGCCACAGCGTGCGAGACCCACACTGGAGGACAGCGTGCCGGCCTCTAGCTGGGCAATCACCTCCTCATGGGACACCAGCTCTGTAGACAGAAACACACCAGTTAGAACTTGCCACCGGCGTACACGAGACCCACACTGGAGGGACAGCGTGCCGGCCTCTAGCTGGGCAATCACCTCCTCATGGGACACCAGCTCTGTAGACAGAAACACACCAGTTAGATCTTGCCACCTCGTACACCGAGACCCACACTGGAGGACAACGTGTCGGACTCTAGCTGGGCAATCACCTCCTCATGGGACACCAGCTCTGTAGACAGAAACACACCAGTTAGATCTTGCCACGGCGTACACGAGACCCACACTGGAGGACAGCGTGGCCGGACTCTAGCTGGGCAATCACCTCCTCATGGGACACCAGCTCTGTAGACAGAAACACACCAGTTAGAACTTGCCACCGCGTACACCGAGACCCACACTGGAGGACAACGTGTCGGACTCTAGCTGGGCAATCACCTCCTCATGGGACACCAGCTCTGTAGACAGAAACACACCAGTTAGAACTTGCCACCTGCGTACACCGAGACCCACACTGGAGGACAACGTGTCGGACTCTAGCTGGGCAATCACCTCCTCATGGGACACCAGCTCTGTAGACAGAAACACACCAGTTAGAACTTGCCACAGCGTGCCGAGACCCACACTGGAGGACAACGTGTCGGACTCTAGCTGGGCAATCACCTCCTCATGGGACACCAGCTCTGTAGACAGAAACACACCAGTTAGAACTTGCCACCGCGTACACCGAGACCCACACTGGAGGACAACGTGTCGGCCTCTAGCTGGGCAATCACCTCCTCATGGGACACCAGCTCTGTAGACAGAAACACACCAGTTAGAACTTGCCACCTCGTACACCGAGACCCACACTGGAGGACAACGTGTCGGCCTCTAGCTGGGCAATCACCTCCTCATGGGACACCAGCTCTGTAGACAGAAACACACAAGTTAGATCTTGCCACAGCGTACACGAGACCCACACTGGAGGGACAGCGTGTGCGGCCTCTAGCTGGGCAATCACCTCCTCATGGGACACCAGCTCTGTAGACAGAAACACACAAGTTAGATCTTGCCACCGCGTACACCGAGACCCACACTGGAGGACAACGTGTCGGCCTCTAGCTGGGCAATCACCTCCTCATGGGACACCAGCTCTGTAGACAGAAACACACAAGTTAGATCTTGCCACCGCGTACACCGAGACCCACACTGGAGGACAACGTGTCGGCCTCTAGCTGGGCAATCACCTCCTCATGGGACACCAGCTCTGTAGACAGAAACACACAAGTTAGATCTTGCCACCTCGTACACCAAACCCCACACTGAGGATGTTTCTGTCTCTAGCTTGTGAAATGAGACATAATATGTATAATAAAGGAAGTTTCATGCTAGAAGTCATTACCTATGTTTGTGGTTCAAGGTGACTCACTGGATGGAATAGAAAGGGCTGACTATATGCCACTGTACACAGCTGGGGATGTCACTCATTTGTTTGTGCCAGAGTGTGACCATAAAACAAGCAACCCAACTGGTAGGAGCTGATTTTAATCTGAATTAATGCACTCACTTCCATCTCGCAGGATTGGGCTCTCCAACAGGACTTCACAGAACAAAGGGAGGTAATACTTGAGTTTCTGCGGTAGGTTGCTTGAATCCAGTAAGGCTACAATCTGAACAAAAGACAATTCTAGTTTGGTTTTGTTGATGAAAATAATATAAACAAACAGATCATATATATAGTTGACACCTCATCCGTCTGTCTGTCCGTCTGTAATCATTTTGTTTCTGGAACATAATACTACAACCGTTCAATATTTTTCAACACATATTGGTAGATGTATCAAACAGAACCTTAAGCGGTGCCTCTTGCTATTTACAGATTTTTGGCATTTTTATTTTAGCCCAGTTACTATGGAAACAATTGGGACTTAGTCTCAAAAGGGAGGGGTGGGCTTCATTTCCGGAGCACAACTTGAAAACCTTGGCAGACATATCAAACAGAGACCTTTTGCTGTTTGCAGATTTTGGGCATTTATATTTTTCATGATTTCCATGGAAACGATTTGGACTTTAAGAAAAGTTCTGTCAGATGATTTGTTTTTTTTCAAATATGTGGGGGCTGGGGGGATTGGTCATCTTTGATGATTCATGTGTTTATATGGGGCCCTTTAGACTATGGGTCTGAGGCCCTTTTGACTTTTTGATGCGTCCCTTTTGACTTTTTGTTCCAGCCCTTTTGACTAGGGGTTTGCGGCCCATTTGACTTTCTTGCGGACTTTTTGACTTTTCCGTTTTGGGGCCCTTTTGTCATGCGTCCCTTTTGACCTTATCCTGTACAACAGCACCCAGGGTTCTTTTGTTCATCTGCATACAGGGGGTAGTTGTACAAAACAACCTTAGTGCTAAGACAATCATAAGTCTATGTTAAGGTATGGGAGTTACAATCACCTTAGCACTAAGGTCGCTCTGTACAACAGCACCCACATAGCTAAAATGAGTAAGGCATAATGTTCATCTCTACCAAGAGCCCACAAAAAAGAAACTGACAGAGCACAAACTAAACTGATATAAGATTGAGCATTACCTGGACAAAATTTGTGTGAATGTGATCAAGCTGGAACGTAAACGGAATTTCAGCCAATGGAAACTCAGGAATCTTGTTTGCTGCCTCCTTACTGAGGTTTGCAGCAGGAATTAGGGGATGGAACTGTATACTGCCAACATCGGGAACAGTTACACTCGTCAACAGATCCTCAGGAGGTTCAATCTGTCATGGAGAAACAACAATCAGGTTTACAGACAGATTTCTGGGGAAGATTATGTTTCCCCTGACCTAACTATGGTATAATTGCTGAATAATTGCTGAATCTACAAGGAACCTGAGCATCATACACAGACACATACCACTGTTATCCCTTTCTATTATTACCTCATTTTCCTTCGTGGCCTTCTCCAATAGCTTCGCCAGATTAGACAAGCCATCTTCTCCCAGCTTCTTCCTCTGGGCAGCCACTCTCTCCTTCTCCGTCTTCCCCATGTCTTCCATCAGGGACTTGCTGGGCGTACCCACCACCTGACAGACAGAAACCTCTATAACACCACACAATAACCAATAATCGATCAGTCATGAAGGCAGTATAATGTATTATGGGCCCAAGAAACAGATATTGAAGTCCTAAGGCTAGCAGATCTCACATGACATAACAAAAGCTCACTTGATTTTCAGCCAGATAATGTAAAGCTAAGTGGGATATACTCACTGTGACTGTGGGTTTGTCCACAAAGTAGGTGTTGAGCAGTTCTACCCAGAAGTCCTCCGTCTCGTCCTTCATCTTCTTGTAGTTGTTGATGGAGTTGACTCGTATGTCCAGCTGGAGCAGCAACACAACCTACACATCACCTTACTCCATAGTGTACCAGTGTGTTGTACACTACAGTCAGCATTATAGTTATATCCTGGTGGATCTATATCTGGACCAGACAAGCCAGTGACTGATAGAAACACCATGCCAACTCCACTGTGTGTCGTGGATATCCTTCCACATTATGAATGGAGGTATGAGTGACACGGAGACAGTGTCTGTAGAAGTGTACTGATCATCATACATAACTGTCAAGTCTGTCTACAGAACACATTTGTTGTTTGTTTGATGTTTAATGCTGGCTGTGGTCTGTAAATAATCAAGTCTGGACCAGACAATCCAGTGATCAACAACATGAGCACTGGTCAACACAACTGGGGTACGATGACATGGGTTAAATAGTCAGCAAACCTGACCACCTGATCCTTATAGTCGCCTCTTACAACAAGCGAGGGTTGCTGTTGACCAATTCTAATGTGAATCCTCATGAGTACAAAATCTGACTTAGTACGAACTTATATATATTTTACTAAGGCTGCCAATTTGCAAGAAAATAATCCCTCTTTCATTGCCACTCTGTGACTGAAATACTGGTCAAATATTGGCAAATATCTTGATCATTTACCACAACAAGCATTGACTAAATCCTGGGTTCGATTTCACACTAATTCACTTATTAGTCCCTGTTTACTGGAGATGACGTGAGATGGGGAATACTATTAATGATGAGCACTCAACAGTATTTCAGCTTTGTCACTACGGTCCATAGATAACGGGGACTGGACAATGATCAGCAGAGTTGGAAAAAGTTTGGATCTCACAGCCTATACTTACATCATCCTTGTTGTCTCCATACAGGAAGTCCCCGATGAGGATGAACGCCATCGTGTCGTGGGGCTGATCCTCCACCTGAACAACACCAGTGGGCAGTTAGTTTCCAAGGATTTCATCTTGCATTTAAATATCGAAGTGTTATTTCTGGAGACCATAGTTCAGCGGCCAGATAACACTAATACCTGCAGGAACATATCTGGATTAAACAAAGTCGTCTCTTAAAAATGACATTGTAAGGGAAGACAAATGGCTAATAATTTCTGTGTACCTCATCACTCTATCACTTGACTGGTTTCTGGGAATAATACAGCTGCAGATCATAAGCTGCCATTATTATTCAGCACTAAATAACTGTTACGTGTTGGCTTCTATTTGTCATTTGCCAATCACCCATCTACGCCAGTTAACTGTTGGCTTCCATTGTTTAGCCTCCATCTTTGTTGTGTTATTACTTCTGTAGTTCTTACATGTACATACATGAGTTTCATACCATGCATATGATCTCTACTTCATACCATCATTCACCCGATGAAGGAGCAAGGATATACTCCGAAACGTTGTGTTAATCATAATAAAGAAGTTGAAATCCATAAAACTCTCTTCCTTACAACCATGGTTGACTTTTGGAATTTGCACAAAGTAATTAGTGATGTAGTATGGTAAATAAACTTTAGAGGTATCGTGTTTGACAGGTAGTTATCTGGTGACAGATACATTCAAGAGGCACACACTCAGGATTTTTAAAAAGGAATGTGGCGTGGGAGCACAAATCTTATCAAGGGCCATCTTAACATGAAAGGTAGATCCCCCCATCTGATTGTACCTGTGCTACTCACGTTATTGAGAGACTCCAACACACTCCTGTGGACGAGACTCTGCAGTCTCTTCATATCAATCTTTTCCTCTCCTGATCCCAGCTTCCGCAGCACGTCCTTCAACCTGGTCATTTCACAAGTCACAATATCAGCAGTATCCATGTTTCAGTACATCATATCTCGATTCTAACACAATAAACACCCCTGGATCCTACAATCACCTTAGTTTCATTTACATACATGCTAAATACCCATGACCCCTTTCAACACCTTAGTTTAGTCTACACACACGGCAAATATGACAGACCCACCCATAACCATAGTTAAATAGACAGCAAGCCATCTCCTGTCCTCTGATAACTAACTTATCAAAATGTTCTTGAATGTGAGTTCCACATACACTGGCATTAAGAATTATGACCTCTTGCAAGTGGGCAACTGACTGACAAGACTTTTCACCTTGAGCAATTAGGTCTATAAGAAGTTATTATACTGCAAGATGTTCCCAGGTGTATCTGAGTCAGAGCACAATATCTCCACTCCAACGCCAATCAGGAAAGAGCAGTAAATGGATTTGCAGAAAATATACTGACTTTCCTGATAAGTTTGTTTCTTCAATGGATAGGGCCAGGTTTATTTCTTACTTTCCATCAATGTGTTCCAGCTTGTCGACAGGCACGTTTTGGAACATCAGGTAGATACAGCTCTCTCGGTTCTCTATCATGGAGTCTGATATCTGTAACAATGGCACTCTGGCATTACAGTTTCCTACCGAGGCAAACATGTCCATTAGCTGATATCCAAGTCCACACTTTAGGTGAACACTCTTTGAAACTAATGCTCTAGGAACAGTTTTTAACAGAATTACAGTGCAGCGATGTCATAGCATTGTGACGTCATCAAATTCATGACGTATTAGCATTGTCAGGGCATTGTACAAAATCTACTGTCTCCTAGGAGATATCATATGATCTCACACAAGCAATATCTCGTGTGGAACATTTTTTGGATGATAAATCTCTTACTGTGCCACTGGTACTCACAGTCATACAAACACTGAACATCAAAACGGTAGATATAAGTATGATGTGATCGTGAGCAAGCTAGTGGTTGATAGTGTGAGCATTGACACATCCTCCCAGGGTATAGTGACACATTTAGTCAGTCAGGCAGTGTTGAACTGTAGGTGCTTGTCGACATCACATCCCTATGGCTACAGGGGACCAGTTACAACAATTTACTCTGAACAACATTTACCTGGAGGAATTGTTACTGTAATACATGTTCAATATCCTCTAACTGTAATTTTAACTATTCATGAGTCTGTAATGTGACTTGCATATTTAATCAAGAAAAACATTGCATGACAAACACAAGGGATATATTTATTTAACTGTGCCTTACCTTGCTGCAGTAAGGGTCTGGTATCTCTACAAACTCCCTCTGTAGTGGAGAAATGGCCGAGTCACACAGGTAGTTGAGCAGTACGCCGATACTCATCATCTTGTACTGCTCCTGGAGACAGACATCATGAACTTACAACAGTGTCCTACTGACAAGCATGTGATCAAACTGACATCATGAACTTACAACAGTGTCCTACTGACAAACATGTGATCAAACTGACATCATGGACAACAGTGTCCTACTGACAAGCATGTGATCAAACTGACATCATGGACAACAGTGTCCTACTGACAAACATGTGATCAAACTGACATCATGGACAACAGTGTCCTACTGACAAACATGTGATCAAACTGACATCAGGAACTTCCAACAGTGTCCTACTGACAAGCATGTGATCAAACTGACATGAGCTTACAACAGTATCCTACTGACAGGCATGTGATCAAACTGACATCATGGACAACAGTGTCCTACTGACAAGCATGTGATCAAAATGACATCGTGGACAACAGTGTCCTACTGACAAGCATGTGATCAAACTGAAATGAGGAACTTACAACAGTGTCCTACTGACAAGCATGTGATCAAACTGACATCATGGACAACAGTGTCCTACTGACAAACATGTGATCAAACTGACATCAGGAACTTCCAACAGTGTCCTACTGACAAACGTGATCAAACTGACATGAGCTTACAACAGTATCCTACTGACAGGCATGTGATCAAACTGACATCATGGACAACAGTGTCCTACTGACAAGCATGTGATGAAAATGACATCGTGGACAACAGTGTCCTGACAAACGTGATCAAACTGAAATGAGGAACTTACAACAGTGTCCTACTGACAAGCATGTGATCAAACTGACATCATGGACAACAGTGTCCTACTGACAGGCATGTGATCAAACTGACATGGACAACAGTGTCCTACAGACAGGCATGTGATCAAACTTACATCATGTACAACAGTGCCCTACTGACAGGCATGTGATCAAACTGACATGGACAACATTGTCCTACTGACAGGCATGTGATCAAACTGACATGGACAACAGTGTCCTACTGACAGGCATGTGATCAAACTGACGTCATGGACTATCTTTTGACTATCTTATTGTCACATGGGCACATTTAACAATAAAATGATGATTTGGAAGCTGAAACAAGAACCATCAGAAGATGACATATCCCCCGGCCTCCACATTTTTGATAGAACAAATCATCTGACAGTTAATTAAAGTCCAGCTTGATTTCTTTTACGATTAAATCTGAATTGTTTCCATGGAAACCGGGAAAAATAAATATGTCAAAACTCTGCAGACAGCAAAAGGCACCACTTCAAGATCTGCCTCACATATCTCCCAAGTTTTGCTGAAAGATATTAAAGTTTTCGAGTTGTGCTCCGGCAACAAAGGCAACCCCTCCCTTTTGTGACTAAGTCCGAAATGTTTCCATGGAAACCGAGAAATATAAAGATGCCAAAAATCTGCAAATAGTAAAAGGCAAGACATTGGGTTCTGTTTGATATATCTACCAAGTTTTGCAGAAAAATATTGAACAGTTTTTGAGTTATGCTCTGGAAACGAAAATGATTACGGACGGACAGATGGACAAGGTGTCAACTATATAAAAACATGTTATGATAGATCTGTTAAATGTGCTTGTAGTAGGATGTACAAGATTTTACAAACTGCAAGTTGGTGTACAATCCTTGACCTTGGGTCTTCTGATGAATCAAGCTAGGAATCTATGACCTTTACCAGATATAGGATTATCTTTAAGTAATATTTTGTGGTGGACCTGCTGACACATAATGTAACTCCATGAATGTATGTATGCTGTCAAGAGCTGAACACTAGTTGTCTCACCTTGGCCTTGGGTCCTCTCCATGCAACCCTCACCATACCATGTTTCTCCTCATCAGAAGGATATGGTATGTTTCTGTGTACTGTTGAGTCTAGACTTGGGACTTCACTCTGCCATGGTCTGGTGAAAGCTGGCCTGGATCCCTGCAACAGCATTAAACATCAACTTTTGTTAGCTGAACTCAATACCTCCAATCCAAGCTTTACAATATCCCAGCGGTACTCAATCCAAACTTTACAATATCCCAACTGTACCCAATCCAAGCTTTACAATATCCCAGCGGTATTCAATCCAAACTTTACAATATCCCAGCTGTACTCAATCCAAGCTTTACAATATCCCAGCAATATCCAATCCAAGCTTTACAATATCCCAGCAATATCCAATCCAAGCTTTACAATATCCCAGTGGTATTCAATCCAAACTTTACAATATCCCAGCTGTACTCAATCCAAACTTTACAATATCCCAACTGTACTCAATCCAAGCTTTACAATATCCCAGCAATATCCAATCCAAGCTTTACAATATCCCAGCAATATCCAATCCAAGCTTTACAATATCCCAGCGGTATTCAATCCAAACTTTACAATATCCCAGCTGTACTCAATCCAAACTTTACAATATCCCAACTGTACCCAATCCAAGCTTTACAATATCCCAGCAATATCCAATCCAAGCTTTACAATATCCCAGCGGTATTCAATCCAAACTTTACAATATCCCAGCTGTACTCAATCCAAACTTTACAATATCCCAGCGGTATTCAATCCAAACTTTACAATATCCCAGCTGTACCCAATCCAAACTTTACAATATCCCAACTGTATCCAATCCAAGCTTTACAATATCCCAGCGGTATTCAATCCAAACTTTACAATATCCCAGCTGTACTCAATCCAAACTTTACAATATCCCAACTGTACTCAATCCAAACTTTACGAACTTCTAACTGTACCCAATCCAAACTTCACGAAATCCCAGCAATATCCAGTCCAAGCTTTACCATATCCCAGTTGTATTTAATCCAAACTTTACAATATCCCAACTGTACTCAATCCAAACTTTACAAGATCTCAGCTGTATCCAATCCAAACTTTACAATATCCCAGCTGTACTCAATCCAAACTTTACAATATCCCAGCTGTACTCAATCCAAACTTCACGAAATCCCAGCAATATCCAGTCCAAGCTTTACAATATCCCAGCTGTACTCAATCCAAACTTTACAATATCCCAACTGTACTCAATCCAAACTTTACAATATCCCAGCTGTACTCAATCCAAACTTTACAATATCCCAACTGTACTCAATCCAAACTTTACAAGATCTCAGCTGTATCCAATCCAAACTTTACAATATCACAGCTGTACTCAATCCAAACTTTACAATATCCCAGCTGTTTCCAATCCAAACTTTACAAGATCTCAGCTGTATCCAATCCAAACTTTACAATATCCCAACTGTACTCAATCCAAACTTTACAATATCCCAACTGTACTCAATCCAAACTTTACAATATCCCAGCTGTATCCAATCCAAACTTTACAATATCCCCAGTTGTACTCAATCCAAACTTTACAATATCCCAGCTGTACCCAATCCAAACTTTACAATATCCCAGCTGTACCCAATCCAAACTTTACAATATCCCAGCTGTACTCAATCCAAACTTTACTATATCCCAGCTGTACTCAATCCAAACTTTACAATATCCCAGCTGTACCCAATCCAAACTTTACAATATCCCAGCTGTACTCAATCCAAACTTTACTATATCCCAGCTGTGCCCATTCCAAACTTTACAATATCCCAGCTGTATTCAATCCAAACTTTACAAGATCTCAGCTGTACCCAATCCAAACTATACAAAATCCCACCTGTACTCAATCCAAACTTTACTATATCCCAGCTGTGCCCATTCCAAACTTTACAATATCCCAGCTGTATTCAATCCAAACTTTACAAGATCTCAGCTGTACCCAATCCAAACTATACAAAATCCCACCTGTACTCAATCCAAACTTTACAATATCCCAGCTGTACCCAATCCAAACTTTACGAAATCCCAGCAGTATCCAGTCCAAGCTTTACAATATCCCAGCGGTATCCAATCCAAACTTTACAAGATCTCAGCTGTACCCAATCCAAACTTTACGAAATTCTAGCTGTACCCAATCCAAACTTTACGAAATCCCAGCAGTATCCAGTCCAAGCTTTACAATATCCCAGCGGTATCCAATCAAAACTTTACAATAACCCAGCTTTACCCAGTTCAAACATTGGAAAATCTCAGCATTACCCAGTCCAAACTTTCAAAAATCCCATCTGTATCCAATCCAAACACGAAATGTCAGCTGCATCCAGTCTCAGCTTTACCAAACCAGCAATCTACAGTATGCACATTTTTCACAAATCTACTTGTGATTCGGTTGAAAAATACACAATAAGATAACTTTAAAGAATTTTGGTGCAATAATGGAACAAAAGCGTTATTTTATCAGACAATATACACCTGAATATCATGTTATTATGGTAGCAGCGTTTACTGAACATGTTTAACAAAATAATAGCACTTGGGAACAATTGATTGCTATTGCCAAATAATTTTATAGAAAGGATAGCTTCATCAGTAAACACTGGAGTATAATGCATTCCTGCTACAGCAACGGAATTAAAACAAAATGCAAATATCATAATAACAGGCAACAAGAGTCATCAGAAGATGACATATTCCCTCGGCCCCCACATATTTGAAAGAACAAATCACCTGACAGTTGCTTGAATTCCAACTTGATTTTTTTAGACTAAGTCCAAATCATTTACATGGAAATCATGAAAAATATAAATGACAAAAATCTGTAAACAGCAAAAGGCACCACTTTGGGATCTGCCTCATATATCTGCCAAGTAAGTCCAAATTGTTTACATGGAAATCATGAGAAATATAAATGCCAAAAATCTGTAAATAGCAAAAGGCACCATTTCAAAACTGCCTAATATATCTGCCAAGTTCTGTTGAAAGATTCTGAACGCTTTTCGAGTTGTGCACTGGAAATGAAGCCCCAAGTCCTAATCGTTTCCATCTGCCAAGTTTTGCTGAGAGATATTAAGAAGTTTTCCAGTTGTGCTCCGGAAACGAAACCCACGCCTCCCTTTTGGGATTAAGTCCGAATCGTTTCCATGGAAACCAGGAAAAATAAAAATCTGCAAATAGCAAAAGGCCCCACTTAAGGATTTGTTTGATATATCTACCAAGTTTTGTTGAAAAATATTGAACGTTTTTTAAGTTATGCTCCGGAAATGAAGCCCCACCCCCCGCAAGACTAAGTCCAAAACGTTTCCATGGAAACCGAGAAAAATAAAAATGACAAAAATCTGTAAATAGTAAAAGGCACCACCTTAGGTTCTGTTTGATATATCTAGCAATTTTTGTTGAAAAATATTTAACGTTTTTTGAGTTATGCTCTGGAAACGAAAATGATTACGGACGGACGGACGGATGGACAGACAGACGAGGCGTCGACTATATCCCCCCGCATTACATGCCGGGGGGATAAAAATGAGTAAATAGCAAAAGGCACCACTTTAGGTTCTGTTTGATATATCTACCAATTTTTGTAGAAAAATACTGAACAGTTTTTGAGTTATGCTCTGGAAACGAAGCCCACCCCTCCCTTTTGAGGCAAAGTCCAAAAGTCCAAATTGTTTCCATTGAAACCGAGAAAAATAAGGCACCAACTTAGGTTCTGTTTGAAATATCTACCAATTTTTGTTGAACAGTTTTTGATGCTCCGGAAACAAAATGATTACGGACGGACAGACGGACGGAAGGACGAGGTGTCGACTATATCCCCCTGCATTACATGCTGGAGGAATAAAAAGGTGAGTTAGTGAGTGAGTGAGTGAGTGAGTGAGAGAGTGAGTATGGTTTAACACCACTTTTAGCAATATTCCAACAATATCAAGTGTTGGACACCAGAAACGGGCTTCACACATTGTACCCATGTGGGGAATCGAACCCAGGTCTTCAGTGTGACGAACACAAGCATTAACCATTAGGCTACCCCACCGCCCCCAAAGGTTAGAAGTATAATATCAGGCAGACCTTGTTCAAGGAATATATCTGTCAATATCCGCACAAAGGAACAATATCCATTACATCTAAAGCTGTTTAAAAAAAACCTTGTCTGATGCCACATGTCTTTGTAAGAATCTAACATTTAGATATATGCAAAGCGTTTTGGGATATTATAACCCATGTCTCGACTGATTGTTTGTTTCAGCTGTTTGACATTGGTGTCATGTTTCCTTGGTCAGCTAAGATAACACATCTGACATCAACATCCATGATATCCATGCTTCTTTACAAGTTCAATTTAGTTAGACAACAATGAACAATAATTCAACATATTAACAGCTAATCCTTTGAACAAAGTATGATGTTGTATGTGTATTCCCATCTGATTTAGTAAACCTACATATAACACTGTTGACAAATCCACTGTGCATGGTAAGAGTGATTAATCAATCAACGTATCATTGGTTAATGCTTTGATGGAAGGTTTTGCAACTGAACTGGCCATTCCTCTGCCATGTGAATATTATATAACAAGTAAAACATTCACCACATCCAGCCTTTCATAACCCAATCTCAGACTGATTAACTGCTCCAGATATGGGAAATGCCAAATACAAACCACTGATCGCTATATATCCTTGTCACCCTCAGGGGGGAACTTTATTGAGTTATTTTGCATAATCTCAGTAATCCGAATGCTGTCACCACTAATCAGTACTTGTAATAAAGTCATTAACTGAGCATCAAGTGTGGGGCTTATATGATGAAACATGGATGACAAGAAGAAGTAGTAATTGTTGTGTTGTATGCAGTTTGCCTGGAAAATATCTACACGTAATTGCTGCATACTGCAGTACATAATTGTACATATGCATTCACACACATATATGAGAATTCATGGAGAGATGTCCGCCCGGGAAAACCACATTGGCAAAATACCAATTGCCACTAAAGCCACATTTCAAGTACAAACATCGGTGCCGCAAATGGCCGCGAAAGCCACAATGAGTAAGGGAATAAATACCATATTTTTTCTTCAAAATAAGCGTCACCCATTGATCACAATGGATTAACATTGTTTAGTGACTTGTCCTGTGTTTGTTTAGCTAACATATGATGGACAGCTTCTTTATTTTCATTGAAGGTTTTAGTTCTAGTTTTAATCTATTTATGTTTATTTTGTTCTCTATTCTCTGCTTTTATTGTAGATTGTATTATCTTAATTCCTATGTATAGAATCTGTTCTGAGATAAAATGATATATTTTAATGGGTCATTCTATGGAAAAGGCCAATTTCAGCTTTTGCTTTTAAGAAAATGTTATTTGTATATTTTGTATGTCTCCATGTAAACTACTGTGGTTTGTATGACTGGTATATTGCATCAGCAGAGAAGTTTGGACAAGAATATTCCATAAAATTTATTGTGATGTTTCAACTTTAAACTAAAATGTCATTACTGAGTTTGGAAAATCTTGTCATAAATTTGCTTAAAACAGCTATGACATGGAAAGAGTTCTTTGGTGTCATATATGCAGTGTCTAATTTACTTTTCAGAATAAGTGAGCCCTGGGCCCATGGTTAATTAAAGTAGTGGGACATTTACTATTGTAGGTGGGTCATCAGAAAAAAACAAGGGAGACAATGCATTCACTTGTATCAATTAAAGTGTTAATCTAAACACTGTTGCTTTGGCCATAAAAGTTATTATCTTCTAACTCTGTCTGTTTTAATTTTGAGTTAGTAAAAATAGAAAACAGTTACAGCAACTTTGGGTAATACTGGGTAATACTGGGTAATCCTGATTCATTGAGACTGTCCTCAAAATTGAAATCCTGAATTTTGAACCTTCAACAGCTATGAGTAGTAGTTCATCAAGTTTCTCATCTGAAAGTTGATTTCTCAGTGATGTTTTCAGCAAATTTTGGGAACTAGAACCTCTCTCACAGTCTGATGTGTGAATGGATGCTGTGAGTGCAACTGAAGCAAGAATCAGTAGATTAGGAAAGTCTTTAGAGTGGTAGCTGTGTATCAAACTCCACAGATTCTGCATGTTATCTCTTGGATAACCTGAGTTAACAACTAGCTTCTTCAGTTTCCCCCATTCCACCCGGGCACCAGCAGCATCAATAATTGCTTTCACATGTACTTCAGTTTCCCCCATTCCACCCGGGCATCAGCAGCATCAATGATTGCTTTCACATGTACTTCAGTTTCCCCCATTCCACCCGGGCATCAGCAGCATCAATGATTGCTTTCACATGTACTTCAGTTTCCCCCATTCCACCCGGGCATCAGCAGCATCAATGATTGCTTTCACATGTACTTCAGTTTCCCCCATTCCACCCGGGCACCAGCAGCATCAATGATTGCTTTCACATGTACTTCAGTTTCCCCCATTCCACCCGGGCATCAGCAGCATCAATGATTGCTTTCACATGTACTTCAGTTTCCCCCATTCCACCCGGGCATCAGCAGCATCAATGATTGCTTTCACATGTACTTCAGTTTCCCCCATTCCACCCGGCATCAGCAGCATCAATGATTGCTTTCACATGTACTTCAGTTTCCCCCATTCCACCCGGGCATCAGCAGCATCAATGATTGCTTTCACATGTACTTCAGTTTCCCCCATTCCACCCGGGCATCAGCAGCATCAATGATTGCTTTCACATGTACTTCAGTTTCCCCCATTCCACCCGGGCATCAGCAGCATCAATGATTGCTTTCACATGTACTTCAGTTTCCCCATTCCACCGGGCATCAGCAGCATCAATGATTGCTTTCACATGTACTTCAGTTTCCCCCATTCCACCCGGGCATCAGCAGCATCAATGATTGCTTTCACATGTACTTCAGTTTCCCCCATTCCACCCGGGCATCAGCAGCATCAATGATTGCTTTCACATGTACTTCAGTTTCCCCATTCCACCGGGCATCAGCAGCATCAATGATTGCTTTCACATGTACTTCAGTTTCCCCATTCCACCCGGGCATCAGCAGCATCAATGATTGCTTTCACATGTACTTCAGTTTCCCCATTCCACCCGGCACCAGCAGCATCAATGATTGCTTTCACATGTACTTCAGTTTCCCCATTCCACCCGGGCATCAGCAGCATCAATGATTGCTTTCACATGTACTTCAGTTTCCCCCATTCCACCCGGGCATCAGCAGCATCAATGATTGCTTTCACATGTACTTCAGTTTCCCCATTCCACCGGGCATCAGCAGCATCAATGATTGCTTTCACATGTACTTCAGTTTCCCCATTCCACCGGGCATCAGCAGCATCAATGATTGCTTTCACATGTACTTCAGTTTCCCCCATTCCACCCGGGCATCAGCAGCATCAATGATTGCTTTCACATGTACTTCAGTTTCCCCCATTCCACCCGGGCATCAGCAGCATCAATGATTGCTTTCACATGTACTTCGGTTTCCCCCATTCCACCCGGGCATCAGCAGCATCAATGATTGCTTTCACATGTACTTCAGTTTCCCCCATTCCACCCGGGCACCAGCAGCATTAATGATTGCTTTCACATGTACTTCAGTTTCACCCATTCCACCCAGGCATCAGCAGCATCAATGATTGCTTTCACATGTACTTCAGTTTCCCCCATACCACCCGGGCATCAGCAGCATCAATGATTGCTTTCACATGTACTTCAGTTTCACCCATTCCACCCGGGCACCAGCAGCATTAATGATTGCTTTCACATGTACTTCAGTTTCCCCCATTCCACCCGGGCATCAGCAGCATCAATGATTGCTTTCACATGTACTTCAGTTTCCCCCATTCCACCCGGGCATCAGCAGCATCAATGATTGCTTTCACATGTACTTCAGTTTCCCCCATTCCACCCAGGCATCAGCAGCATCAATGATTGCTTTCACATGTACTTCAGTCCCAAAGTGTTCCAATAGCTTCTCTAATTTCAGATTTCCCCACATTTCAAGTTCATCACTGGTGAGAAATGAAACTGGGCGCATACCAAAGGCATATATGATGCTGTTGTTTGGAAACTGTGGCGATTACGAATGCAGATTGATCGCTCAAAATTGTGAAAATAAGTTGTAAATATTAAAGAGTTTGGAGAGGTATGTTTTACATGATTGATACGAGTCAAATTATTTATATAGTGCGCCAATCAGACCCACCAGGTTAAGGAATAGTGCGCTATTTTTAACTATCATGCGCCAATGGCGTAAGGGTGCGGACTAAAATTAGACTCTGTATATGTGACTGTTTATACGTATATTTGTGCAATAAAAGGTCATTCTTCTAAATTGTTTCTTTTTAGCTTTTAGCATGAATGTAAACATAATAACTGAGGCAACAATAGCTCTTATCTCAAACATTGAATTCCTTTACCCTCCCATATGTTAAAAGGCTTCGAGGAAATAATTGTGTGTATAATCATAAATAATTCGAAAAGTCGTTTGAGTACCTACGTGAGGCAGCTAGTTTCCGTGATCTGGACTTTTCTCCACGAACAATTCAACTGGATTTCTAGATTTTACATAATGAATATTTCAATATTTGATACCCATTATTTACGGTAACATGGATTAGCTAATACCACATTGCCGGGAGAGCCACATTCATACGATCACTCAACCATGCCCATTGCCGGTTGAGCCACACCATTTTCAAGCATGTTTCTTCAATATGGCTTTCCCAGGCTATAACCCATGGAGATACCCCAGTTTTCATTGAGACACTCTCTTGCTGATACAAAACCCAGTTTTTAGTGTTTTTATTCTGATACTTACTTGCACAGAGTGATTACGTGGGCTACTTAATATGACCCAGACTGGACAAGTAAAACGTGGAGTTTTGTTTCCCTTTAATGTTACCTTTGTTAAGCCAAAAAGACATTAATATAAAATAAAATAACCTCATACTAATCTATCCCTGATTACTGAGTTCACTGAAAGGTAGACATATTTACTTGACAATACATGGACAGGTCATGACAAGATGTGTTTAAACACATGCCAGACACATCAGCAATGAAATGATCCAATCAACCTACCTTTGCTACGATTCTATCCTCCACTGGCTTGAGGGCAGCAAAGATCTTGTCCGGTGTGACCTGCCCTGTGATGATCAGACACAGATTCTCTGGCCGATAGAACTCCTTGTGGTAGCTGCACACCTGACAACCAACAGAAAATGGTTACCATGGTAATTAAGGCTCCAAAATTTGTTTTCAGGACCCTTTTGAAGTTATTTCCAGGAAATAATATTAACTCCTTTCTCCTGCAGATAGTCTTTGCCAAAAAATATAATGAAACCCCAGACTTTGACATCCTTTATACAGAATACACCATTGCAGGATGCTGCTTAATAAACATATAAAACAGACAACCCGTGAACATCCAGGTTAGAACTGGTCTCTAGCAACCAATGCTGGTTGTAAAAGGCGATCGGGTGGTCAGGCTCGCTGACCTGGTTGACACATGTCATCGTATCCCAACTGCGTAGATCGATGCTCATGCTGTTGGATCACTGGATTGTCTGGTCCAGACTCAATTATTTACAAAGTGACGCCATATAGCTGGAATATTACTGAGTGCTGTGGTAAACATTAAACAAACAAAAGAAATGTATAACAGACATCTTGATGGACAATAAACTTCATAGCGAGTGTACCTTGGGGTAAGATGTGCTCTCCCGGAGGTTCAGTAGCATGCCACCAGTCTCGGACTTGTAGCCACAGTGACCGGGGTACATCCCCCTCAACATAGCTAGATGAGTGAGACTCTCCCCCGTGTTCTCCCGTGCCTGCATCTCACAATATACCACGCCTGCATCCTCCCCCTCGTCATTAACGTGGTGGACTTCGGTGATGTACCCAGATTCCTGGAACATAGGCACAGAGATTTGGTGAGAGTTGCTTCAGTGAATAGTGAAAGTTGGTTCAGTGGTTAGTGAACAGTGGTTCAGTGAATAGTGAAAGTTGGTTGAGTAGTCAGTGAACAGTGTTTCAGTGAATAGTGAAAGTTGGTTGAGTAGTCAGTGAACAGTGGTTCAGTGAATAGTGAAAGTTGGTTGAGTAGTCAGTGAACAGTGTTTCAGTAATCAATGAGAGTTGGTTCAGTGAATAGTGAAAGTTGGTTGAGTAGTCAGTGAACAGTGGTTCAGTAATCAATGAGAGTTGGTTCAGTGAATAGTGAAAGTTGGTTGAGTAGTCAGTGAACAGTGGTTCAGTGAATAGTGAAAGTTGGTTGAGTAGTCAGAGAACAGTGTTTCAGAAATCAATGAGAGTTGATCAACATGGATCAGTAATTAGTGAAAGTTGCTTCAGTACTTACTGAGTATTTGTTCAAGAATCAGTGAGTGTTTGTTCAGTAATCAGTGATAATAGTCTGGTTCAGTAATGAGTGACAATAGTCTGGTTCAGTAATGAGTGACAATAGTCTGGTTCAGTAATGAGTGACAATAGTCTGGTTCAGTAATCAGTGACACTGACAGTAATCTGGTTCAGTAATGAGTGACAATAGTCTGGTTCAGTAATGAGTGACAATAGTCTGGTTCAGTAATGAGTGACAATAGTCTGGTTCAGTAATCAGTGACAATAGTCTGGTTCAGTAGTCAGTGACAATAGTCTGGTTCAGTAGTCAGTGACAATAGTCTGGTTCAGTAATCAGTGACAATAGTCTGGTTCAGTAATCAGTGACAGTAATCTGGTTCAGTAATGAGTGACAATAGTCTGGTTCAGTAATCAGTAAGAATAGTCTGGTTCAGTAATGAGTGACAATAGTCTGGTTCAGTAATGAGTGACAATAGTCTGGTTCAGTAATGAGTGACAATAGTCTGGTTCAGTAATGAGTGACAATAGTCTGGTTCAGTAATCAGTAAGAATAGTCTGGTTCAGTAATCAGTGACAATAGTCTGGTTCAGTAATGAGTGACAATAGTCTGGTTCAGTAATGAGTGGCAATAGTCTGGTTCAGTAATCAGTGACAATAGTCTGGTTCAGTAATGAATGGCATTGGTAGAGTCCACTGGTTTGAGTAGGATGTTAATATAAATTATGGCAACAACAGCCTTTATACAGTACAACCAGAAATTTTTGAGAATTTAAAGATTGTAATTTAAAAAAAAAATTCACTCATTACTCACGTATTAAATGTGAATATTAGCAGAACATAAATCCAGATTCAAAGACAGGTGAACAGTTAGTATTTTGTCAAGTCACCATGGGCAGCAATGCAGGCTTCAATGCGGCGGGGCATACTACTTACTACTGATCAAAGAAGTTAGAAAGTCGTGGTCCATGCTTTCCCAATATCGGACCACCTCTTCTTTCATTTCAGCAATATTTGTCAGATTTTTCTTATTGACACTTTCCTTCATAAGTCCCCAAACATTTTCTATTGGATTTAGGTCAGGGCTATAGCTTGGCCAATCTAATAATGTCATATTTTGGGTCAGAAACCAGGCCTGTGAATGCTTTGAAAGATGTTTTGGGTCGTTGTCCTGCTGGAAAATCAAAAAATTTCCATAGAACACGTGAGCAGATGGAAGTAAATGTCTCTCGAGAATATCTGTGTACCACTCACTGTTCATATTCCCTTCAAATACACAGAGGGGACTGTACTTTGGGTGCTGATACAAAGGTTTTTCAGTTTGTTTGGTCCAGAATTTCAGTGTATTAGGAAACAGCCACACAGAACTTTCATCTGAGAAAATCACATTGACCCAGTTACAATTTCTATGCTGTAAGCACCAATTCAACCTTCGCTCCTTTTGTTCAGGTTTCATGATCGGTGATGGAATTCCTCGACTTTTCTGCCAACCCATTGCATGCAGCTCAGTTCTAATTGTCTCCTTACAGACAGCCACAGTTCCTCTATTAATCATATCCAGCCTTAAGTTTTCTAAACTCCTTCGTTTGTTTTTAGAAACAAGAATACCAAGCCGCCTCCTGTCAACGACAGTCAATTTTCTGGGCGTACCTGCACCTCCCTGGTGCTCAATCAATGCCATATCCATTTGCAATATATTTCAAAACACGATAAACAGTGGACAAAGGGATGCCTATGTAGCAGGGCGTGGAGTTATCCCACAGATGACATCCTTACCTTGTCAGCTTGCTGACGGGGTTAACCTCTTTGGTCATGTGGACAAGGCGTCCGACTTCGGATCAGAAGGTCCGTGGTTCGAATCCCAGCACGGGACTCGGAAATTTTATGGCCGCTACATTGGCGCCCAACGTGGGGCTGAGCACGTTCACATCAAATTTGAGCAAAATAAGTCTCAGTACCCAACTATGCGGCTCGGGACGTGCCTCATGTTGACGGGGAGTATGTAGCAGGGCGTGGAGTTATCCCACAGATGACATCCTTACCTTGTCAGCTTGCTGACGGGGTTAACCTCTTTGGTCATGTGGACAAGGCGTCCGACTTCGGATCAGAAGGTCCGTGGTTCGAATCCCAGCACGGGACTCGGAAATTTTATGGCCGCTACATTGGCGTCCAACGCTAATGAGGTAACCCAAAGTGATATGACAAGCCAAATTACTGGAGTTGGGATGCTTCGTCCGACACGGCCTGAATTAAAGATCGGCCATCAGTACGAGCGAGACTAGTGACGAGGACGGACGGACCGCAGTGTTGTGATGTTACGGAAAGATACTGTGCTCTGAAACTGTAGTAACTGCGGTGAAAACTGTCTACTCCCTACCACAGGATAACACAGGATTGGAGTACTCTACCCAGGAAGGCTACGATTCTCATACTAACTGGACTTGTCAGTTAATCTTGGGCTAACATTGGTGGCAGACGTGCAGAAGATGGACACAGCAGTGTCCACATTCAACTCTATGACAAACGGAAACGCAGACAACAATCAGCTCCAAATGAACGGCAGTTTAGTGTCTCAAGCTACCAACAACCCCCCAGGAAATGGGGGCCCGAACAGAGGGGGTCCGGTTAAAGCGTGTGGGGGGTGCGGGGCACGCATCGTGGACAGATTCCTGTTACACGCGTTAGATAGATACTGGCACACAGGTTGCTTGAAGTGTTCATGTTGTCAGGCACAGCTTGGGGAAATCGGGACATCGTGTTTCACAAAAGCAGGAATGATTCTTTGTCGGAATGATTACATTCGGTTATTTGGGTCTGGAGGTACATGTGCTGCCTGTTCACAAAACATTCCTGCCAGCGAGCTCGTGATGCGCGTGCAAGGCAACGTATATCACTTGCAGTGTTTCATGTGCGTATCGTGCCACGGGCAGCTTGTGCCAGGAAATAGGTTCAGTATTGTCAACGGCAGCTTACTCTGTGAACAAGATTACCCAAAAGTGCTAAAAGGTCACGCTTCGCTGCCCGCACGGACAGCACATAAGGTATGTTGATGGGTGACTCTAAAGACTGTTCAGGTCCTCTTCTGTGGCTACTTGTCTGTTAGAGGGATATTTCACAAATCTTCATCCAACTTTTGCATCTCCAATCATCGGATCAGCAGCAGCAACAGCAGCAGCAGCAGCTCGCAGTGGTGTGCACGGCAACGTTCTGCCTGTTGGATGCCCTACGTTTGTCAACACACAAACAATGCCAGGCCGTGTCGCCAAGGATCAACAAGTGGCTAAATATTGAAAGTGATGACGATTCTTGACATCGCCAGAGTGCAGGAAACAAAATAGCCGACAACTTTCGAAATGGCTTAACCATTGTCATCTGCTCTTTGAAGGAAATCACACACGTAAACAGGGACATGTTTGAGGAGTTGTGCTACAATACCAGCCACGCGAAAAGTTCTCAAAACATTTTGACTCGATCAGCACCATGTTTCTGCAACTATTTAAACAGTATACAAGAACAGTAAACAACTGTCTGGACCGAAACAAACACGGGAGATCGCATTACTTCGGGCCGTAATGAACGATGACGCCATTATGACAGCAGGCGACAGTGAGATACTGATGTTATCAGTGTCTTGTTCGCAAGACCATGTTTTATCAAGAGTGACTGGAAAGGAAGAGAATGTACACTTGTAAATATTCCGTTCATAAACCCGTTCCTATGCTTAGGTCAAGTGTCTGGACACTCACGCCTGTCTCGACCGTGTGTACAGTCCCTGTCACTTAAATTCGTTGCACGTGCTATAGTATGATGTGTTACTTTTATATGTAGGTGGCTCGAACGGTAACATTTAAGTGCCTATATTTTGTTGATAATTTATAGAGATTCGATCACAGGTTGGACGCCAATGTAGCGGCCATAAAATTCCGAGTCCCGTGCTGGGATTCGAACCACGGACCTTCTGATCCGAAGTCGGACGCCTTGTCCACATGACCAAAGAGGTTAACCCCGTCAGCAAGCTGACAAGGTGAGGATGTCATCTGTGGGATAACTCCACGCCCTGCTACACCTGTTCTACTTGAAATCACTTTCGCTGATCTGATGCCCTTGTTATAATACTTTAAAATCAACTTCCTCTTCTCTATATCATCCATACTGAGGATCACTGAAAATGTCGTCTGCTAGCAAGTAAACAAAGGGGGATAACTCTTCACAAACTAATGAAAAAGGATTATCGGAGTTGTCTCTTTTGAATGAAACCAAGCACTTGATAGCTGGTCAAGGTTGTTTATACTAGAAATCCAATTAAACATATTCCTAAAATTCTCAATAATTTCTGGTCATACTATACAAAATATGGCACTGTATGTGTAGCAGAATGTAAATATTGTGTATTTTAAGCCTAAGGTATTTAATTTAGTTAAACAATATAACAACCCTTTAAATTAACACAGCACTCTACTAATCCCTAGGTTAAGTTATGTAAGCCTGCATGGGGTTCTGTTTATCTTCAGACTCCTGGTCCAGCCACGGCTTGGCCAGTGATTGATTTGCTATTGTTTCTAGAGCATGTGACCAGATCTGGAGTTTTATGTACCCCAACATTCTTTTTCCTGGTCACTGCTACAATTTCAACTCTTGACTGCTACAATTTCAACTCTGTCTCCTTTATCACAGCACTCCACTTATTGGGGTAAGTTACTTTAGATGTCTTTGTATGTATATTATCATAAGGAGGTTAGGATATGATGTTTTAGTCAAGTTAGTTTCATCATTTTAATCATATGTCTGAAATATATTATGTGCTGTAATATCATCTACATGCTAATATGATGTAAATATTTTATATGCTTAATATCATGACACACTGTTATGTATTATAATTATTACACGTTTGGTTAATGTAGACTATAGTGTATACATTGTAGATTAGGTACATATTAGAGATGGCATGAGAATGTGTGTGTGTGTGTGTGTGTGTTAGTATTTGTGTGTCAAGGAAATGCATGGGTTATGTTCTAAATGTTATGTTACATATCAGATTTTCATCTGTATGTCTGTAATTTGTAACATAGGCTTATATTTATACTTAGATTAAGTAACCCTTGTGGTGTACAGAAAATGTTAAATATAATTATATGTTTACTATGTACTTGTTGCTGTATACCAGTAATTTGAGATGTGTATGTTTTGTTTCAAGGGTTTTATCACCTGATCCATCATCCAAGACAATAAATCCCTGAACCCCTTACAAGTATTCGTCTGTGTTCAATCTTGACGTGATACCGCTGTTACATATGTATGGATGGGCAGCAATTTGATGACGGTCACCAAAAGGTCCTGTTTAATAGATTACTACTGACTGCTACTTGCCACCATGAGAATTGGATAAAGGACAAGGTCTCTACAGACAGTTTGGTGAATGAGTGACAGTCATGGCCATGTTTTCTACACTTGTCAACCTTCAGTGTTAGATAAAGGACATGTGCCACACAAACACAGTTTGATGAATCAGTGACAGTAATGAAATGGTCTTGTTTACAACACTTGTCTTACCTTGAGTGTTGGATAAAGGACATGGTCTATATAGACGGGCAGCAGTTTGAGGAACCCCTCCGATCCGGCGTTTGTCATGGTATAACAAGTGTGGTCAGTGTCTGTCCAGGCGTTGGTTCCTGAGGCCAGGCACCTGTTGGCCAGGAGGTCCAGAACGCCCTGAATCCACAGAACACATGGGAATGATCCATCAACAGTTCTTAACAGAGTGTAATGGTGAAAACTAATTTCTGATATTTACACAAGTATATAGTCCTTTTACAGAAACCAGATTAGCCTTTAAACAACCTGAAGGTAAAAATGGAAAGAAAAGAGTTTCGGTAAGAATTCTGCCCATAACCCCCGCTTGAAATGTATACTATTTATTATTGTTATTTCTAGGGGTTAGGGTTTAGGTTTAGGGTCTAGATTTAGCATTGTGTTAGGTTTATGGTTAGGTTTAGGGTCAGGGATTGGGTAACCTTTCTATAAAAAATCATCTATTCTTAGGCACTGATTAATAAAAAAACGGGGGTTACAGGCGGAACTCTTTCCAGAGTTTCTTCATCAATGAACTATACTGAACAAATTTAGTTATGGATCATGAATAAATCTGGCGGATAGTGTTTTGATTGAAGACTGAGCACACACAGTTATATAAATATTTGTGATCCAAACATATTTCTTGTTCCATATACTGAGGAGGTTTGGTTGATATACAAATCTGTTAAAGGAGAACTTGGGAAAATTTGTACTGCTAATACTAGTATATGACAAAATGAGAGTAATCCCCTAGACTAGGGATGCTACTTCTATCCTGACAGTATCCGGTGCAGCAGCCAGTGTTGAGTCTCACCTTGTATGGGTACTGCTCGCTGCCCATAAAGATGTGGTGCTCCAGGGTGTGAGGGAGGCCGTCGTCATCATGGGCCTTCAGTGGCTGTCAACAAGGAAATCTGAATCAATCACACTCTCTTCTACAGTGAGTGAGAGAAGGAGAGTGAGTGATCAAAAAGCTAGAAGAGGTGTGTGAGTGAAAAGGAGGATGGGTGAGTGAGTGAGCAAGTGAGTGAGTTGGGCTTAAGGCTGCTTTAGATAGGATTCCGGTTCTATCTTGATGTGTCAGTATAACGTAGGAGGAAAGCTGAAACTGATGCAAGTCTCAGAATTGTCAGATGTTGACAACTTGGGTGAAATCCATGAGCATTTGTGTGATGCTGACAAATATAGAAACATAATATGGCAAACCAGGATTTAAATTAGTGGCACCTTAGATGACAACATCATCTGCTCCAATGATGTCACAGGTTTGTGTGAACAGATATATCTAACTTCAACTGATTTGTGAGTGAGTGAGTTTAGTTTTACGCCGCTTTTAGCAATATTCCAGCAATATCATGGCGGGGGACACCAGAAATGGGCTTCACACATTGTACCCATGTGGGGAATCGAACCCGGGTCTTCGGCGTGACCAACTGATTTGCTACCTGGGCCTAGATTTTTGAAGTTATCTTAGTGCTAAGATAGTCGTAAGTTAACGTATGGCACTTACGACTATCTTAGCGCTAAGAGTTTTGGAAAATCTAGGCCCTGGGCTCTATGCACAAGCCCACACGCCACCACAGACAAGTGTCAAAGTGATATCTTCACTCAGGTCAATGAAGTGAATGTCTCATGTAGGAATGTTTCAGCAAGTAATGGAATCAGACCTTGCACCTTTCATCATATTTGGGTCTCTTGGTGAATCACAAAATGCAGATAAAAATTAAGAAACTTCATTAACCATCTTTAGCTGACAATGACTTTCATGACCTTATTTACATATTTACCTCCCTTTGACAGCAAACCCACCCACCCCCTCCCTAAGACAGGTTATGGAGAAGAGTAGTGATAAAAAAATATGATAAATAATGTATCATAAAACACAAAATGTTAGTATGGGTCACTCATAAAGAATTCTTACAAGTTGCTCTATAGGGCTAGCTAAAACAATCGATGATCGGAAACAAATTCAATGTGAAGATTTATCCATGACTATCGATATGAAACTTGTGTCACTGATAAGCTGTGTAAAAAATGGGATTGAAATTCTTACCTGTCAAATTAACATTGATATCATTTAACAATACATAAAGTATTTCAATCAGTAACACAATTTTACTAATTTTGTAAAATGAATGAGTGAGTGAGTGAGTGAGAGAGTGAGTAGGATTTATGCCGCTTTTAGCAATATTCCAACAATATCATGGCGGGGGACGCAAAAAAAGGGCTTCACATGTTGTACCCACGTGAGGAATCGAACTCGGGTCTTCAAAATGATGAGTGAACGCTCTAATCACTAGGCTACCACACCCCTACTGTAAAACGACAGCGTTCTTCTTACAAGACATTGTGCAGCAGTTTCTATCACACTTTAAATGAAAAGTCCAACATGGTCTAAGCTGAGGCGGTGCTAAAGATCATGCTGAACAGATAGTTGTTGTCAGCTTTATTCAGAACTTTTACACAAGTAAATATACGCAGAAATATAATAGATGTGCTAATGATTCCATGCACGTATTGTAGATCAAACGCGCTGTGCATGTCACAGACTTCCTTTTCGAAATCGGTGATGAAGAACCAAAGATTTACTCCATTGTTGATGGAGAAGAGGGGGGGTCCTAAACCAGATACATTACGTGTGTTAAACTGCATATACACACGTCTACGTGCCACTTACAACACGTCTAACGATTGTGCACAGAATCGTAATATCCGGATATCATTAGCAATCGGGAAGGCTGATCGAAATCAGGACAGCGTTGTTTCAAACAAGAATCTAAATTGTTCTTTTGTTACCTACCTAAACAGAAATAACCATTGACAAGAGGTCCTTCAACCTGAGCTATGAAAATAGAAATGCCAGTTTCTTTCGATCGATATTTTGAAACAGGGATGCTATCATTAGCAACCACTGTAAACAGAAACTCGAAGTTATCACTGGACGTCGCCATTTTGCCGCTAGAGAAGTTTGATTAAAAAGTTGGAATGATTTAATGATGGTAAACTTGCATGTAATAAAATTGTAAAGTAATTGAATTTGCTACATGTATGCACTTGATGAATGTGAAAGATATATGAAACTATAGCAAAATCGCTCGATGTATTCAGTAACAGAGAAATTACTTCCAAGCCTATAGCTGCATTTACTATAAAATTAGGAACTTTCTGTACTTTATAAGGAAAGAAATCCATTCTACACATAAATTGTTTTGTCCATTTATTACGAAACTATTCATTGTCAATGATTCACCACACAAATTTGATCGGTGTGATGGGATTCCTGATAAAAAACAACCCAGAAATGACGTGCACTGGAGAATCATTTAGTGGTTTCGTCCCTTAATTAATTATTGTACCAGGATCCATAGATACTGGATTCGGATCCTTGATTCGACTAAGCCCTTGTTCTTTGGCCCTGTACTTTTAATTGGATTTTTATAAAACAATCACAGAGTGCATTTCGTTCTCACTCATATCAGCTTTATCTTCAGTAACCCATCGATGCTTGTCGTAAGAGGAGACTAACGGGATCGGGTGGTCAGGCTTGATGACTTGGTTGACACATGTCATAGTATCCCAGTTGCGTAGATCGATGCTCCTGCTGTTGATCACTGGATTGTCTGGTCTAGACTCCATTATTTACAGACAGTCGCCATAATAGCTGGAATAGGCCTATTGCTGAGTGCGGCGTAAAACTAAACTCACTCCCCTTTTTCAACATTAGCAGACTTTACCTATCCGATTTCAAACTTTAACATCCGGAGCCGACTCCTTAGACACTTACGAGTTCCTTAATATCTGAGGTTTCCGTTTTCCAATTATTCATGCATAACTTCTTGGACTCCATGTTAGTGAAGCTGGCAAATATGCTTTTGCGCGTGGGTTTTAACAAAGTATGGTAATTTACACTAAAGTGTTGTAACATAAAATTCATTCACGCACTCATTCGATGCAATATTGATGATATCACCAAACCTACACAATCCTTCCAAAGTGGAACAGTCAGCATCAGATACAGTTACTGCTCTTAAACCTATTTTGTATTATATTATGAGTGAGTGAGTATGTTTTACGTTGCCTTGAGCAGTATTACATCGGTGTTTACTGCCTGACGAGCGAACGCTTTAACCACTAGGTTAATGGGGTACGTGGACACAAAGGTCAACATACAGACGACTTATAGCATACAAGCACATCTTCAACAGCTGACACAAACAACCATGAAGGAACTCCAATCGCTGATATAAAATATTTAATATCTATTGTCAGGTATCAGACCTGGTAGAGTCAAGTGTAGTGATTGATCTCGCGGACTAGATGGAGTGGAGTAGTGGTATTACGGGTGTCAGTGGTATTTATTGTGGTATTACGTGTGTCAGTATGTGTGTGCGTCCACTTATCCTCTTAAAGTACGACTCCGCCATTATATGTCATATACATGAAGGCGAAACTCTCCAAGTGCGTTTCTATTTTTTTACGATCCTGTATTGAGCTGTGATTGTTAACTCATAAAATGGTTTATTATTGTGAAAACAAACGCAGAAATAATTCTAATAACATGGCAATAAAAATTACTCTTATGTCTCTTGCCTCCTCCCAGAATTGATAGTTTAAAACCACACCCAAATACGGATATTTCACCTCCCCATCCAGGGATAATCTACAACATTATATAGTCTTTTTATAGTCTCCCTGGTTCATCGGATCCTGGTTCTAAGGGACACAACTCCCTGCCCCATCCAAACGCATTCTTTGTATTATCACGTGACCGGCTGCACATATGGCATATGAGTATATCGATTTGTTTCAATGACCGGAAGCGTGGTATTGTATTCATTGTATATACCACATTGTGGTTCTGTAAATATATCAAATCTGCATATGATTACAACCGAACCTTGAAGAAAAGAGCCGAGTTTGCGTGTCAGGCCAGCCTCGGATGATATAGTTATCAAACAGATCTATTAGCACTTACCTGTGTAGCCCAGGTAACTAGCATACACGTACTACATCTATAGGCACCAGTAGTGTTCGACATTTTGCTTGTCGGATTCTTTTGGACAAAAGTGAAACGAGTTACTTTTCGTTTTAAGTTATTTTCATTTCATTTATTATCAATTTCTTAACAACACAAAGATCAGTCTGTTTTTGTTGTTGTCATATGCAAATGGATATTATGGCCGGTTACAAGAATAAGATTAAGTCATTCTGATACATCCATGAAATCTTGTATTTGAGTCTCTATTTCCCCAGGGGCATCTGTGCTTTAAATAGATAATTAATCCATTGAAAACATGCCATATATACGCTGTAGCAGATGTACAGAAGACAGGGGAACAACGGATAAGTCAACAAAGTGGGGAATCGGTTTTGTATAAGCAAGAATTCTTATATAATCGATCGTGTATATCGGCATTCCATGTGTCGTATAGCGTCGTATGTATGATGTCAAATGTGGATGTAAGTGTGTGGGTGGTGTTGAATGTGGATGTTCTTGTTTGTGTGGTGTTGAATGTGGATGTTAGTGTGTGGGTGGTGTTTGAATGTGTGGATGTTGTTGAATGTGTGGTGTTGAATGTGGATGTTAGTGTGTGGGTGGTGTTGAATGTGGATGTTAGTGTGTGGGTGGTGTTGAATGTGGATGTAGTGTGTTGGTGGTGTTGAATGTGGATGTGTGTGTGTGGTGTTGACTGTGGATGTTAGTGTAGGGCTGGTGTTGACTGTGGATGTTAGTGTATGGGTGGTGTTGAATGTGGATGTTAGTGTAGGGGTGGTGTTGAATGTGGATGTTAGTGTGTGGGTGGTGTTGAATGTGGATGTTAGTGTAGGGGTGGTGTTGAATGTGGATGTTAGTGTAGTGGGTGGTGTTGAATGTGGATGTTAGTGTAGGGGTGGTGTTGAATGTGGATGTTAGTGTATGGGTGGTGTTGAATGTGGATGTTAGTGTGTGTGTGGGTGGTGTTGAATGTGGATGTTAGTGTGGGTGGTGTTGGTGGATGTTAGTGTGTAGGTGGTGTTGAATGTGGATGTTAGTGTGTGTGGTGGTGTGGATGAATGTGGATGGTGTGGTGTTGAATGTGTGGATGTTAGTGTGGTGTTGAATGTGGATGTTAGTGTGTGGGTGGTGTTGAATGTGGATGTTAGTGTGGGTGGTGTTGAATGTGGATGTTAGTGTGTGGGTGGTGTTGAATGTGGATGTTAGTGTGTGGGTGGTGTTGAATGTGGATGTTAGTGTATGGGTGGTGTTGAATGTGGATGTAAGTGTGGGTGGTAAGTGTGTGGGTGGTGTTGAATGTGGATGTTAGCGTGTGGGTGGTGTTGAATGTGGATGTCACATTGTTATGGTCAATTGCTGAATACGAGACTGTATCGGTGGTGCCTACACTGCTAAGTCGTGTTAAAAGTTTTTTTAGCTTGGGTAATGAATGAAACCATTCACCGTGAATGTGGTTATGAATAAATGAATGAAGAGGGATCAGTGAACACATTGGTCGATGTTTTCAGTGAATGCATGGGTGATGAACGGTGTTTTAAGTGAATGAGTAGATGAGTCGCGCATGTGTTTGGTGATGAATGAATGCATGGGTGATAAATATTGTAAAATGAATGCATGAGTGGTAAATGTTTTTATCAATGAATGCATGAGCGGTGAATGTCGTCAATGAATTGATGTTGAATGTTTTTACCAATGCATGCATTAATAATTGAGTGTTCTTCTATAGCGTACAGTCTCTAAACACCAAGTGACTGCTCGCGTCACTTTATCAGAATCTGATTATTATTACCCTGGATAACCCAAGCTGCCTGTTAGGCGCTAGAAGGTTATAGTCATATGACTTTATCCAACCAGGTACCCATTTTCTGCTGGGTGAACAGAGGCAATTTTGAACAAACTCACTTGCCTAAGGTGAGACCACATGTATCACATGTGATGTGCGTCGTTGTGGAGCAAGACTGAAGTCCTAGAAATTCTCAGGAGTCAAGCTGCCAAACAGGGTCACCCATCCAAGGACTGTCCGAGGTCAACGTTGCTTAACAACTGATTCGTGACCTGGGCCTAGATTTTCGAAGCTCTCTTAGCGCTAAGATAGTCGTAAGTTAATGTTAATGTATGGCACTTACGACTATCTTAACGCAAAGAGAGCTTCGAAAATCTAGGCCCTGAGCTCTGTGCACAGGACCACACGCCACCACATTAGTGTTGAAGGTGATGGTCGGTGAAGGTACAGATGGTAAATGTTCTTGTCAATGCATGGATAATGCATAGTTGTTGCATGATGACAATATAAGAGTAGATGGGTGACGTATATGGTTGTCATGAATGCATTCGAAAAGATGTAAGATCTGCAGCTCTTTTTCCCACATGAAGACATATGCCGGAATGTAACCCAAATACTATTCTAACCTCGGCATCTCATTCAGAATGATGAAGAGAACACAGAATTTGGCATGTTAGCAATATTCCACCAATACCAACCTACAGGGCTTATTCAGGGATTCTACCCATGTGGGCGGTGGGGTAGCCTAGTGGTTAAAGCGTTCGCTAGTCACGCTGAAGACCGGGGTTCGATTCCTAACATGGGTACAATGTGTGAATCCCATTTCTGGAGTTCCCCGCCGTGGTATTGCTGGAATATTGCTAAAAGACACATAAAACAAAACTCACTCGCTTACTCTGTGGGAATCTAACCAGAATCAACCATGTGACGATCGGACGCTTTTACCACTAGGCTACCCATTGCCCATGGAGAATACTGACCTTTCAACAGATGGTCAAATAATCAACTAATCTGCCCTTAAACCACTCCCCTAAAGCAATTCACCTTTAATACGCCCCACGCTTGCCAATGGACTTTAATGGCAGTATATCAGGAACGCCGGTACAATCTGTTTCCCACATCCCTGGTTTACTCGGTTTATGAACTGATATCCTACTGAGAGGGATCTAATTGAGATTAACTCGACATTGTCACATCGACCGTCATATGCACCAAGATCTTTATTATCCCCTACGGCGGAACTCGATAAGCAAAACACTCAGATATCACCTGTTGCAGGAGACGTAGGAGGGAGATAGTCATTTGTCCGTCCGGACTTTAAATTGACGTTACTGACGTAACTTGAGCTGGAGATGTTACACTGCAGTAAACTACACGTTTATGAAGCGTGGTGCAGAACGCGTTAGTCATTTAAAATCCAAGCTGGTAGAGTGTGTCGGACACCAATGGATTCCTTCACCCTGGACATTGATTCGGACGGTTGTGACTCGGAGACCTACTATACCCGGTTCAGGTCGGGGGATATGCTTCTTTCACCCTTCATTGGAACAGCACAATATGGTTTGTTGCGTCGACTTTGTTATACGCAGTTTTCATAACATTTTACGTAGATCATGTTTTGGTGTCTATTGCACGTTTTTTACGAGGATTGATTTCGGTATTACGACATTGTGTTCACTGCACCGTTGAATGAATATTCAACAGTGTGCATAAATTGATATTTATATTCATATTCTTTTCAGAATGCATTTACAAAACAATACTAGCCGCGAATAGCAGCAATATTGCTGGTACGGCTTAAAGCAACATATACTCACTTACAAAACAATACGTTTGAAATGATATTGCTACACAATCACAAACAAGTTTATGTTTATGTTTTATGATATTATGCATTGCGTTTCTGTAATTTAGAACTACCAAGCTTTGATTCTGATCTTGAATCATGGATAAATAAACTGCGCAAACATATCAAGTAGCTTTTCATATGGGGAAACACGATATCATAAACCGTACATATATCGATTATAAGCAGGTATTTTGTCATAGTGACATACCAGCTACAATTGGCTCGTGAATATGTTTAAACAAAAATACTTCTCCTGCTGTGATATGACTTGCGTTTTTATTTCCCATCAGTATATACACAAGATGTTTGGTAGATTAAGTCATGTCGTATTTCCAGCGAGGCCCGACCTTGAACGCTGAAGTGACATACTGTCATGTGAGAATGTATCGAAGTCAGTATTGATTATTTCGTTAAACACAGCATGTGATGGACTATTCTACTGCACCAGATGGGGAATGTATTGATCACCATGTAACACTGAAATCCGTTGCTGTCCCGATCAATAACCATAGCATTTTTGAACACACAAAATCCTTGCTTTATCATGATAGTGTTCAGATTCAATATGTATGAATGTTTTAGGTACACGTCTTTTTTATATTTTCCGATATAACTAACCGTGAAGTGAAGTGAAGTGGAGTGAAGTGATTTTCATTATGATGTAAAATGAGGTTAAGAGGCTGAGTGGGTTAGATTGCTGACATCGTGTGCTGGCGGTGTCTTACACTGAGAGGCTGGGTGGGTTAGATTGCTGACATCGTGTGCTGGCGGTGTCTTACACTGAGAGGCTGGGTGGGTTAGATTGCTGACATCGTGTGCTGGCGGTGTCTTACACTGAGAGGCTGGGTGGGTTAGATTGATTGACATCGACATCGTGTACACTGAGAGGCTGTGGATTAGATTGCTGACATCGTGTGCTGGCGATTAGGTGTCTTACACTGAGAGTGTGGGTTCGAATCCCGGATGGGAATAAAGAAAATCATGGTGACACACAAATTCGTTTAATGTCGATATATTTTATGTCATATTCTTACGCATCTAATATTTTATGTCATATTATTTTCACTTTGCTGATTTATTCCAAATGTTCCCTTAATAAGAGAAACATACGAAACTGACGTCATATGAACGCTTTGCCACAAATGATTTAAGAGGAGGATATCCATTATTCATGACGTCATTCACAATTCTTTCATTCTCGAAGCGGGATGTTTTTTTTCTGCAATAGCTTTGTACCAAGCGAATGGATTTTGTGAATACATTTAGACTAGATAATATATAATTCCGAGTAATCTATATTTTGTTATTCTTCATACTACCCTTTCCATAGTTGAAAATATTATGAGTGAGTGAGTTAATATTTAACGTCACATCGGCAATGTTTCAGCCATATCGTGACGAGAAAAAAGAATAAAGAACATGTATATATTATGAGAATATTATGAATAATATGACTAGCTATGTGAACAGTTAATTGGAAAATAGATATTATTCATGAAGAATATAACCCATATCACTGTTTTCATGAAAGCATGGTAAAGATTTATTGTTTCAGGCCTTAAATTATTGTTTATTCAATTCGCATATGCCATCACTTATAAATATACATGTATATTTAAAACACTAATCTAATCACGTGCACACCTGCGGCAATGTTTCTAATTAACATGAGAACAAGCGTCAACAGAGATAGATCACCCCGACTACTAATGCTTAGTCTCTGAATATATATAATTTTGATTGTAACAAACAAGCCCATTTAAATTGAAAAGGAGCCCCAGGGAGACCAGAGATTCAACCTGGGGAAATCTAGACTTGCTTTATTTTAGGGCTTTAGCACTGCAGAGGGGGCTTGGCAGTGGGGAAAATAATGTGGTTCAGGGAATGTGAGACAGACTACACCCCGACCTCAGGCAGAGGTTGACATAGATGTCACGTTTACGGAGCAGTAGGCTACTCCATCGTCCTCCAACACAGCCATAACTGTAACAGTCAAAACAACAGGGTCACCAAAAGGTCAGAGATCTTATCAGTGTCCGAATTAAAAAAACAACAACAACCTAATGTCGCAGAACCTGTGAGTGAGTGTTGTCATACTCCATCTTAAGCTATAAATATATGTTATATGTTGCCTGTCTCGTCAGTAATAAAGACAGGTCTGTATCAGACAAACCAGTGGTTGATAGCACGAGTGACGTCATTGACCTCGCCGTCCTATCATATGTCAAGCAGCACGGCGTCCATCAAGATCAACTTGTCCTTGGGTTTAAGGCTCTTGTCAATAAATGACAGCTGTAATCGCCATTTTATGTATATTTTTTAGGTTGCCATTTTGGAATAAATAAAAACTGGGGTAAACCGCCGCACTAAAACATTGACAAAGACTCCGAACCGAGGTCATGATGTTTGTTGTTCGAACTTATGAACTGCTCCCTTATCAAAGGTACTTCGGTCTCCGTGGTATAGGCTTTGTGGGGTGTCAACACACGGACGTTTTTTAATTTAGAATCACATTTAGGGTGTAAACTAAATTATTGTACTCTTAAACAGGATTTCGTGCATCATTTAAATTTACATACCCTCCTGATGTTAATATTTACCGAACACTAAATGTTTTGACCCTACGTCTTAGATTAACGCTTCTCTAAATATATATGATTTTGATTGAAATAAATAGTTCCATTTATATTGAAAAGGAACCCCAGTTTGATGGAAGATTCTGCACCTTTGTAAATCTAAACTTAATTGAGAGCGTTAGCACTGCAGAAAGGGTTTTAGAAGAAAAAGGTAAATAATGTGCTTCACGGACAGTGAGACAGACTTTACTAACCCATGTCTATATTCTCCACTACGTCCTCGATGAAATATATATTTATCCTCCTAGAGATATATATATATATATCATAAGTGGTAATAGCTGATGTGAAGACCATGTTCAGAGATGTACATTTTTCATTCAGAGTTATCAAATATATCAACACTCGTTCAGAGTTGGTTTCAGCTGAAGCCCTGTAAAATGCATGTATGAAGAAGCAAGAATTTTTCTTATTAACATTAAACATATATCAAGGTCAGTTTTGACTCAGTTTTGTTTGATATTGGGTTTCGAGATCTCAGATTTCAATCTATAAAGAGCGTTAAAATTGTCAATTTGGGTCCTTTGTTGAGTGTTATTGTTGTAGTTTATGTTTCCAAGCATTAGACACAAGCCAACTAGCAGCCGATCAATCAGCGACAAAGAATAACCTAGCGAAATACGATAGACTTTATCCCACGGTAAACAGAATATCGACTGAAGAAAACAGCACATGTGTACACGTGTGTATATTCTATTTATAGCCCCAATTCCTAACCAATGAAAATCGTTGTAATCGTATAAACTAGGTTCCGGTATAGGGAACTCTGGGATAGAAACCAGCCATATTGTTGAATTTTCCACGCGTACCGTATGGTTTTACGCTAAAATATTCTGGTGTGCTTATACCAGTTAATATATTGACGAAATGTCGGTCGATTTTGTGTCGGAGGTGGATCGGCGATTCTTTGCCAACAACATGCTGACAAATGAGGATTGGGGTGAGTGAAAACACCTAGAAACATGTCGGGGTAGTCGACTTCACAGATCAGGAAGATAATGTTGATATATGTTGTTATTGAATGCATCAATAATTCAGATTGTGTAATAAGTGTTCCTAATGCTGCATTTATCAATGTTTGACATCTAACACATGGTAGCGTGATGCTAAAGAAGGGTTTAAGCATGATAACAAACAAATATACTTTGAGGGGTTTGAAAAAGAAGGCGTGGCATAGGGGACCCACCCGCTAGTTCCCTTTGTCGGTTTTGATGGCAGGGTCTATTGAAGTTCAGTATTGCTGGAGTCAGGGGTTATACTGCTGGTGGAATATTGATGGAGTCAGGGCTATATTGCTGGAGTCAGGGGTATACTGCTGGAGGTATATTGCTGGAGTCAGGGGTATACTCACATTATATCTTTACACCGCTTATGGGATTTTTGATATTGCAACCGGAACTTAAGTACACTGTTGAAATTCCTGAGTTGTGCTCTGAATAAATGGGTGGCCTTTGCTTTGGAAAATGTATTTCGGTGGGGAAGATGGTTGCATTTCAGTAGAGCAGTATCAAAAGTACAACGCACATGGAGAGGTTTAAGAGTCATCTGTATTTGCTTTTTAACTGGTGCCTTCCATGTTTTTGTCTGACATGATGCAATGTATTGAATGTATGTAATACACCTGTTGTAATCATGATAATGAAAGCATATAAGTCAGGGGTAAGAGCTCCTCCCGTTCCCCCATCCCATATAATATTTATAATTTAATATATACTAAAATTATTAACAAAACTTAACACAACAATTACAAGAAAACTCACAAAAAAATAACTAAAAGCCCAAGAAATTAATAACAATATTTAGGGTCGAACTACCTTGTGTTACTTCTGTTATTCTGTGGAAGAAAGAAGTAGGCAATATGGGGAATGGAAGGAACTCTTTACGTTATCATTTTCAGAATAAGAAATGAAGTAAAAGTGGCTAAAATATTGTGTCATCTGTAGAAGGATATATACTGGCAACAAACACCATCTGTAGGCAACTTTTTGAAAGTATTCGTAGGCCTAGCTGAAAGTACCTAATTTTGGAATATTTTTCCCTATTCATATAATCATGATCAGTTTTTAATAGCCATATTGATTTGTATTCATCTCATTTTTAATATTTTCTTGCTATCATAATAATTTCTTTTTGTATAAGTTTTAATAACATGATTAACAATGAATGATGTCTATCCCCATCTGTCAGAATTTGTCATCTATCCATAGTAATTCATCCATGCATTGATGCAAAGGGACATGGATGCTCTTTTGTGTTGTGACTCTCAAAATGATATGGCAGAAGTTGATATATCATGTTGAATTTGAGCTGAAATACCTACGTATTCATTTTTTTTCCTCATTTAATTCATGCAACAGCTGTTTTGGCAATATATGTAGGTATCATTGATACATTACTTCATAACTTTGAAGGTTATACAGAGGTTTTGTTGTCCAGATGAACCATGTTGACATGATCATTAGTAATGTGTATTGGTTTCTACCTGTCAGCACTACCTGGATCTGGTAATCCTATAGGTGTCTACCTGTCAGTTCTACATGGATCTGTTAATCCTATAGGTCTCAGCCTGGCCGCACTGCCTGGATCTGGTAATTCTATAGGTGTCTGCCTGGCAGCACTACATGGATCTGGTAATCCTATAGGTGTCTGCCTGTCAGCACTACCTGGATCTGGTAATCCTATAGTGGTCTGACTGGCAGCACTACATGGATCTGTTAATCCTATAGGTGTCTGCCTGGCTGCCTACATGGATCTGTTAATCCTATAGGTGTCGGTCTGGCAGCACTACCTGGATCTGTTAATCCTACAAGTGTCTGAGACTCTGCCTGGTCACACTACATGGATCTGTTATTGCTATAGGTGTCTGCCTGGCAGCACAACATGGATATGTTAATCCTATAGGTGTCTGCCTGGCAGCACTACATGGATCTGTTAATCCTATAGGTGTCTGTTTGGGAGCACTCCATGGATCTGTTAATCCTATAGGTGTTTGTATGACAGTAAAACCAGGATCTGTTAATCCTATAGGTGTCTGTATGACAGTAAAACCAGGATCTGTTAATCCTATAGGTGTCTGTATGACAGTAAAACCAGGATCTGTTAATCCTATAGGTGTCTGTATGACAGTAAAACCAGGATCTGTTAATCTTATAGGTGTCTGTATGACAGTAAAACCAGGATCTGTTAATCTTATAGGTGTCTGTATGACAGTAAAACCGGGATCTGTTAATCTTATATCATATGTGTCTGTATGACAGTAAAACCAGGATCTGTTAATCTTATAGGTGTCTGTATGACAGTAAAACCAGGATCTGTTAATCTTATAGGTGTCTGTATGACAGTAAAACCAGGATCTGTTAATCTTATAGGTGTCTGTATGACAGTAAAACCAGGATCTGTTAATCTTATAGGTGTCTGTATGACAGTAAAACCAGGATCTGTTAATCTTATAGGTGTCTGTATGACAGTAAAACCAGGAAACCTATAGGATCTGTATGACAGTAAAACCAGGATCTGTTAATCCTATATGTGTCTGTATGACAGTGAAACCAGGATCTGTTAATCTTATAGGTGTCTGTATGACAGTAAAACCAGGATCTGTTAATCTTATATGTGTCTGTATGACAGTAAAACCAGGATCTGTTAATCTTATATGTGTCTGTATGACAGTAAAACCAGGATCTGTTAATCTTATATGTGTCTGTATGACAGTAAAACCAGGATCTGTTAATCTATAGATGTCTGTATGACAGTGAAACCAGGATCTGTTAATCCTATATGTGTCTGTATGACAGTAAAACCAGGATCTGTTAATCTTATAGGTGTCTGTATGACAGTAAAACCAGGATCTGTTAATCTTATAGATGTCTGTATGACAGTAAAACCAGGATCTGTTAATCTTATAGGTGTCTGTATGACAGTAAAACCAGGATCTGTTAATCTTATATGTGTCTGTATGACAGTGAAACCAGGATCTGTTAATCCTATATGTGTCTGTATGACAGTGAAACCAGGATCTGTTAATCTTATAGATGTCTGTATGACAGTGAAACCAGGATCTGTTAATCCTATAGGTGTCTGTATGACAGTAAAACCAGGATCTGTTAATCTTATAGGTGTCTGTATGACAGTGAAACCAGGATCTGTTAATCCTATATGTGTCTGTATGACAGTAAAACCAGGATCTGTTAATCCTATAGGTGTATGACAGTATGACAGTAAAACCAGGATCTGTTAATCTTATAGGTGTCTGTATGACAGTAAAACCAGGATCTGTTAATCTTATAGGTGTCTGTATGACAGTAAAACCAGGATCTGTTAATCTTATAGATGTCTGTATGACAGTAAAACCAGGATCTGTTAATCCTATAGATGGATCTGTTAATCTTATAGGTGTCTGTATGACAGTAAAACCAGGATCTGTTCCTATAATCTGTATATAGGTGTTAATCTGTATGACAGTAAAACCAGGATCTGTTAATCCTATAGGTGTCTGTATGACAGTAAAACCAGGATCTGTTAATCCTATAGGTGTCTGTATGACAGTGAAACCAGGATCTGTTAATCCTATAGGTGTCTGTATGACAGTAAAACCAGGATCTGTTAATCCTATAGGTGTCTGTATGACAGTAAAACCAGGATCTGTTAATCCTATAGGTGTCTGTATGACAGTGAAACCAGGATCTGTTAATCCTATAGGTGTCTGTATGACAGTGAAACCAGGATCTGTTAATCCTATAGGTGTCTGTATGACAGTGAAACCAGGATCTGTTAATCCTATAGGTGTCTGTATGACAGTAAAACCAGGATCTGTTAATCCTATAGGTGTCTATGACAGTGAAACCAGGATGTTAATCCTATAGGTGTCTGTATGACAGTGAAACCAGGATCTGTTAATCTTATAGATGTCTGTATGACAGTGAAACCAGGATCTGTTAATCCTATAGATGTCTGTATGACAGTAAAACCAGGATCTGTTAATCTTATAGGTGTCTGTATGACAGTAAAACCAGGATCTGTTAATCCTATAGATGTCTGTATGACAGTGAAACCAGGATCTGTTAATCTTATAGATGTCTGTATGACAGTAAAACCAGGATCTGTTAATCCTATAGATGTCTGTATGACAGTAAAACCAGGATCTGTTAATCCTATAGGTGTCTGTATGACAGTAAAACCAGGATCTGTTAATCCTATAGGTGTCCGTATGACAGTGAAACCAGGATCTGTTAATCTTATATGTGTCTGTATGACAGTGAAACCAGGATCTGTTAATCTTATAGATGTCTGTATGACAGTGAAACCAGGATCTGTTAATCCTATAGATGTCTGTATGACAGTAAAACCAGGATCTGTTAATCTTATAGATGTCTGTATGACAGTAAAACCAGGATCTGATAATCTTATATGTGTCTGTATGACAGTAAAACCAGGATCTGTTAATCTTATATATGTCTGTATGACAGTAAAACCAGGATCTGTTAATCTTATAGATGTCTGTATGACAGTAAAACCAGGATCTGTTAATCTTATATGTGTCTGTATGACAGTAAAACCGGGATCTGTTAATCTTATATGATATGTGTCTGTATGACAGTAAAACCAGGATCTGTTAATCCTATATGTGTCCGTATGACAGTGAAACCAGGATCTGTTAATCCTATATGTGTCTGTATGACAGTGAAACCAGGATCTGTTAATCCTATAGGTGTCTATGACAGTAAAACCAGGATCTGTTAATCTTATAGGTGTCTGTATGACAGTGAAACCAGGATCTGTTAATCCTGCAAGCAGCTCAAAATTGATAGGTTGAAGGTGATAATTTACATATTCTATGCAAATATGCAGGTTATTGGGAGCACTGATTTTATTATGTACTAATACAAACAATTTAGGACCACACAATAGTTTCTCACTATTATAGTTTATATGTCTTTTCAGCAGTTCAGAGGAAAACTATATCTCTGTATACCTATTCATCAAATGTTTTAAGTATATGATTAAGTTTGTCAAGTACTCATACTCTATGAATTATGGGCAAACGATTTTCCTTAATTAACATCTTGGATATGATCAGTGATCTTCAGTATTTACAGTAATTCTTATGTGTCAACTCCTGGCCTCATAATGGACGGATGAACATGATGAATATTTCATCTGACACTGTTGACGATTCAGGCCTGGGGGTCATGTATATTTTATCTGATAATTCTGTCTTGGGTGTCATGTCTATAGTGTATTGTGTATCAATTTCTGTACACAATGCACATAAACAAAAACTATCTGAGAATGAACTAGATGCCTCCTACTAACTAGGTTTTCTGTAAATTGTTTATTGTACCTGTGTAATTGTGTTTTGACCTACAGGTATGTTAAATAGGCTGTTGTGGATAATTCTGCATATTTTTGAAACCAGTATAATTTCTCACCTCTCTCCAGTTGCTGTTGTCATGGTTTCCAGTTTTGTGGCTGTTTTAATATTTGATGGTAAAGCAGGATGTGGTTATCTGGGTCAGTATTCCTATTTCGTCATGTTCATTGAGTGCTTGTTAAAATATGACTGCTGAACTATGATTCCTTCTGAGAATATTATATAATTGTGGTTGTTAGAAAACCTTAATTCGAATATGGCACTGTTGGGTTAACGTAGGTCTTGTTATCCAAATACTGAGTCTATGGAACTGTCGTCACAGAATTCTACAGGTGAAGTGAGGTGAAATGGGGTTTAACATCGCACTTAAGAATATTTTGCTGGTATGACGATGTGCATGTGTGTGTATGTTTGGCTGGTTGTACTAGCCCAGACTTAAGCTGGTTTTATGGTGCTAGGTTACTGAGATACCGTGCCACAGTTAAGCATGAATAGCTCAATACCCCACTCAGGTACGCTATACTGACTCCGAACCGACCAGTCCTTGTTGTACCGATTAATGCTGAGTGCCAGACCAGCAAGTACCATATTTTAACGTCTTTTTGGTATGATGCTTCCAGGGATAGAACCTGCGGCCTTCCGCTCTCTGGCAGGAATTGTACAAGCTCAGTTTGCTGAAGGAAAACCATATTTGTCTCAGGCATTAAGGTGTCTTTGTAGCTTCGATTACTGAAAGTTCAGTAGTTATGTCTAAGGTGCATTTGATGAGCATAAAAACCCACCTCACATGCATCCTGACACACATAAATGACATGCATACAGTGTCACGCAATAGGTAATTATTTGAGCGCATTAAGTGTTACTTGCGCTTGCTCAACAATCCCCAAAAGAATAAAATCCCCAAACACTTTATTTTTTCTGTGTGCTCAAATTACGACAGGTCAGAAGGGTTTTTAATTTTTTGGGGCGGTGGTGTAGCTTTGTGGTCAAAGTGTTTGCCTGTCATGCCGAAGACCTGGGCTTGATTCCCCACATGGGTACAATGTGTGAAGGCCATTTCTGATGTCCCCCACCGTGATATTGATGTAATATTGCTTAAAGCAGCGTAAAACTAAATTCACTCATTCACTCACTCTCTCATCCACTTCCCATAAATATGATTTGTTGTGTCTATTTATTCAGGACTTTTTATGAGTGGAATGTCATGTTAAATTTCACTCACTCTTCAAATTAAACAATTCACCAATATGATGTCCTGTTGCTAAGTGCTGTTGGCACAAAATTATATGATTGGAACAGTGGGTACAAATTGGCCACTCAGGTCGACAACATCATTCGTGACAGTTCGAGTCAGATTTGCTGGAACTTCATTCCTCACAGTGCACAATTTGTTGATCAAAATGGTGATGTTTGAAATAGCTATGAAAGCATGTCATCACCCTAGTTAATGAAAGTTTACGGTCCCCAGATTCAAATGCTAGAAGAGCCACCTCAGTGCTTATCACATTTAACTGAGGTCACGGGTATATATTGCTATATTATCATGATTATGCAGTTGGTACGTGTGTCAGGATCTATCTGTTATAGATCATTCTGTGAAACCATGGTAACGCTTAGCTTGCTTGAAAGGTTAGTGAAATTTATTGCTCATGGCAAAAATGCTCTTTTACAAATTACAGTCAGGTTATTTCAGTGGTAGTCTGCTGACAGCACATGTCTGAAAGAATGACCACCCTTTGCAATTATTTCCCAACTATGCTGTAAATATTCTTCCAAATCCCCAGCAGATCGATTTTGGAGTTTTTGTCCAATGTCCGGCATTATTGATTTTCCCATTGTGTGGCAGCCTCCAGCATCTACATCAGTCCGGAAACACCAGTAATAGACCATGTGTTTGGTTACCTGTTGGCCATGCTCCTTTGTTAATGGTTTTGTATAGATTTGTGCCAGATCTGTTTTGAAAGAACATATTTCTATATGATGATCCTGATGATAAGTCGTGGAAACTTGATCATGATGATTCAGGATAGTGTGGATTGGATGTGGGTGCAGGGACAGACATGGCTCATATCCCAAGACCAGGGAACACACATAGATAGACTAGTTGCTGAAATGAGTTATCGAATAGAAGTTAGGTCAAGCGATTCACTTTGTACCACAGAGCGCACCAGTTGTGCATATAAGAGACGGTATGTCGTCTCCTGTACATATAACATCTTTGACTGATTATACCGGTATCTACCTCGAGGTTCACACTGTAAACATGCTATAGGACTTTAATCAGGGCTCCAGGTAATGTTTTGAGCCACTGAGTATTTCTTGTTGGTATGTTGTTAAATGCGAGTTGGCAGTATTCCAGCTGTATGATAGCAGTGTGTAAAATTCAACTAAACCAGACAATCCCACGGAGTATTCACTCAAGTGTTATCCTTCATTCTGGGCATTGATAGTGTTCTTGGCTTGATATATATAGTTCCTCCCTTGGGACCAGTTTACCATGATTAATGCTAGTTATACACCAGTGGGATGCCATTATATACCATAGCAGTGCTGAAAATGCTATATCAGGTCACTTCTGTTGTCTTCCTTTTCTTCAACAGTGATAGACATGTCTGATAAGCAAGCAAGACGTAGCATGTTCTCGAGCATTATTAACTGAAGTATAGTACATGTATTAATTGTGTCAGTCAGTCAGTAAATCGGGGCTGTGGGGTAGCCTAGCGGTTAAAGTGTTCGCTCGTCATGTCGAAGACCCGGGTTTGATTTCCCACATGGGTACAATATGTGAAGCCCATTTCTGGTGTCCCCCCTGCCGTGATATTGCTGGAATATTGCTAATATCGTCATAGTACTTAATTCCCTCACACCCAATCAGTACATCTGTAAAGATACAGGTGTACAAGCTCAAAAGGAAACATTGTTTAATTACTATGGCTAGCAATGGTTATAGTAACAGTGTTGTTATGCTATCTGGTTTTTAATTTCCTCATTAGTTGAGAAAGGCAAGATACTTTATTGTTACTCACCAACTAAAATGCCAGTCAAACATCATTATTCATGTGCATTGCACATATATGAGAACATTTGAAACTTAATTAGGTAGCTGGGATTTAATTTGCCTATTTTAATATATTATGCACCTCAGGTAGTTTAATCAATTATGGGTGGGGTGGGGTAGCCTAATGGTTAAAGCGTTGGCTCGTCACGCCGAAGACCCGGGTTCGAATCCCCACATGGGCACAATGTGTGAAGCCCATTGCTGGTGTCCCCCGCCGTGATGTTGCTGGAATATTGCTAAAAGCAGCGTAAAAACCAAACTCAGTCAGTCAGTTAATCAATTATGCGGCTTACCGGTACATAGTTGTGATTTATTTTGTGTGTTTTAAAAAATTATGAGCTGAGGTAGTGATTTATTTGGCGTATTAAATAAAAATGCAAGTTAGGTAGTCGTGATATAATTTGAGAATTTGTTAAATTATGCAGCTTAATATACGGTATAAATTATGCAACCAATCTGGCGATCAGGCATATGCTAACTGGTTGTTTATTTTTCAGAGTCAGGCATGGACCAGTTCCATGACATATCAGAAATTCTTGGGATGGACACAACCATCAGTCCTGAGAACCTCTCTGAACTACCGGACGAACTGGTGAGTCGTGTATAGTGTGTCATATGTCTCCTCTCAATGTCAGTGTCAGACGTTTTCGAATGCATAAAGTCTTTTCATGATGCTTTGAATACTGGCGTTTCTATGCAACATAAAAGGCCCCAGTAAAGCTTTCAAAAACTTGTATGCAGTAACACAAGTACTGTAAGACTCCATTGGTCTCTTGCATGGTGACCTGACTTAGTCATTTGCAGTCCATTTTAATATTGTATTGTTATTACTTGTCATCTTTTAAGGTTAAATACTCATGTTAAATATAAATCTGTGATTTCTAGTGACTTTATTGTACTTAGTTGTCAGGTTTTATATAGTCTTCTTTATGCATTATATAGGTATAAAGTGTAACAACAATAATATGGCCAAAATATTGCCAATGGACTCTACATCTTAATTCACTCACTCTATTTTATGGTAGACATGTGAAGGACATTTGTAAATTTTAGATAATCAGTATTAGCTTCTGCATACCATTATATAACTCTATATACCATGATATGTCATGATATAACTCTACATACCATGATACAACATGATATAACTCTACATACCATGATACAACATGATATAACCAATATGCTGCTCACATACTCATGTACTCTACGGGGCAGTGGGGTACTATCTAGTGGTTAAAGCATTTGCTCGATCACATGATATAACTCTACATACCATGCTGAGGATATAAGGGTTTGATAACCCCCACATGGGTACAATATGTGAAACCCATTTCTGGTGTCCCCTGCTGTGATATTGCTGAAAGCGGCGTAAAACTAAAGTCACTCACTCACTCATTTACCGTTCCAGCTGTCCTTAGAAGGAAGTTCCTCGCCAGTCAACCTCTCCACAAATAGCAAGACTCTTCCCATGGAGGACTTCACCTTTGAACACAAGTTTGATGAAGAGAAATTAGACTTTTCCAAATTTACAGATGAGAATTTTGAAGACTACTGGAAAGAACAGAGTGATAGTTCCGATAGTGGCATCTATGGAGAGACAGGTGAGTGGAGTTGCCATCACATATCTGGATATTTCCTCATGTGACCTTAAACAAAAAACAAACAAGCAGGAAGTAAGTGGAGACATATTGACTTGGGCTGAGTTGGGAGATGGCTGGAATCTTTCTGGCCTTTGATCTTGTTCCTGTTTTGTTGCATGTCCAATTATAACTGAAAGTTTCAACACATGTCATTCTTTTTCATAGAGATTGTCCTTGGGGTACATATATGCATTTTCTGTGGCTGAAAATGTCCTGTGACAGTGGTATCAATGTTTTAATAAAAATATTGTACAATAAATAAAACTTTCCTTTATTATATGTCCCCCCACCACGTGGAGTTACCCCCCTGCTACGCATGTGCAGCCAACCTGGTAAGCACCTAGCCCCCGTATCATCATTCCTTCTGCTGTCACTCTAGCGTTCACACATGTTTCTTGAGTTGCCAAGCTGATTAACTTCTTATCGGAAGAATGTCTGAGACTTCAACTACTGTATGTATGGTCTTTATTCGTTCTTGAGAAACGTTTTATTGACTTTGCAGTCAGTTATTTCTCATTTATGTGACTTTGTGTTCCATTTTACGCTAGCTTTCCCGTTGTTTACTCACGTGTTGCTATTCCATGGTGGGATGTTTAGCGTGCCACGTGGTTGAAATATTGTGTTATTAACCAAGTATTTCATGTCGCATTGTCGCATTCACGTAATTTTCAATGTTTTGTACGTGTATATTTATGCTGTTGTGTTGCACACTCTCAATCTCAATCTAGTGGTTTTGATATGTCCGTTATCACACAATTGTTTCAACAGCATATGGACTCGGTGAAGTCCCTCGTTCATGAATCGGTTGGAGGTCTCCGGCAGGAGTTTCTCGTCCGATCTGATGAGGGGACCGAGAGTCTGGGGGTGGGATCACCGAGCTTGGCTCGATCCCTTGGTCTGGAGGCGGCTGTCGATCCTTTGCCTTTGACCGGGTCCGGACGCCTCGGCTACCCCGGAGAGGGAGGGTTCGCATCCAGTCCCTCTCTCGGTGTTGGCGCAGGGTCCGTTTAGGATTCCTGGGGTTCCGGTCCCTCGGGACCAGGGTTCGAGTGTAGTGTCAGTTGCCGGAGCTGAGAGTTCCTTGGGCTCTTCCCTTCCTGCGGCATCTGTGGCTCAACCTCCCACCGGGTCGGGGTTCGGCTACTCTTCACGAGGAGATCCGAATTCTGACTCGGGCTCGGGTGCCGAGTCTATGGAGGTTGGGGAGGTTGATGAGTCTGAGGGTGCTTTCCGGGAGGTTAGGCAACGTATTGCCCAGTATATTTCCCAAGCCGCGGTGCTGACATGCTCGGACTCGACTGAGTTCCGCCTGCCGGGGGAGGCGTTTGCTCCACGGCAGCCCTCTCAGACACAGCTCCGCATCTTGCCCTGCCTGGTGCAGGACGTGATGGATCCTCTTCTGGTTGGTTCTCACCTCAGGTTTGATCTCCCCGAACTCGTTAAGAGGTATCAGCTGGGTTATAATTCTCTGTTCCTTGTGCCAGTGGTGGACGAGTGTGTATTCACTTCGGTCGCCCTCGGGTTAGGCTTGGCTTCCTCGGATGCAGCCCCAGCTGCCAAGCAAGGGCGGTTAGTACCAATGTTTTTGCCCAGTCAGGCGCCCCCCTGCAGCAGGCATACCGGTCTTATGAGGAAGTCTACCTGAATGCCATGCAGCAGGTGCTGGTCGTGGTCCACGAGGCGTACCTTTCCTCGATACAATGGTCGGCTCTGGAGGCGGAAGGGAGCACTGGTGACGTTTCCCCGCATGTTGTTCTTCTCTGCCAACTATCTGAAGTTCAGGCCCACCTGATGCGAGACTCTTTATGGCCTGCCGCGTCCACAGTGATGTGCGCAGTCATGGGGATGCACAATGTGTGGCTGTCTGCATCCCGTTATTCGGCAGCAACACAGCAGACCTTGCTGGCCCTTCTGTTTCGGCTGGGAGCGACGCCCGAGTCTGCCGGCTGGCTTCAGCCGCTGGGTAGAGGTAGGAGGAGGAGCCGTCCCGCCAAGGGTAAGGGCAAGGAGCAGCCTCTTCGTCTGGCCCCGACCTTCCGCTAAACCTGCCGTCTGTCGCCGTGGGTCCGTCCCAGCCAGTTCATCTGCAGGGGACTACTTCACGCACTCTTACCACACGTCCCAGTGGGAGGCCGCCTCTTTCTATTCCTACCGGAGTGGGAGAAGGCTACCAGCAACACTTGTGTGCTATCCACCGTCAGTGTCGGCCATCTACCACTGTGGAAGCGAGTTCACCGGCATAAGGCGCCGGTGCCGTCATGTCCGGTCAAGGCGGGTATACTGAGCGACAAAGTTCAGGCTTTGCTGGACAAGTCGCAATAGAGCGCATACCACCGGGCGAGGAGAAGGCGGGGTTTTGTTCCACGTACTTCCTCGTTCTGAAGAAGGACGGCAGGTTCCGTCCTATTCTCAACCTCAAGGGGTTGAATCGCATGTTAGAGGTTCCATCCTTCAAGATGGAGACACTTCGCTCGGTGATATCCTCTGTTCAGCCCGGCGATTGGCTAAAGGATGTGTATCTACATGTGCCAATTCATCCCTCGTTCAAGCAGTACCTCTGGTTCTCTTACGAGGGGATGTGTTACCAATTCACGGTGCTCCCCTTCGGCATATCCACTGCTCCCAGGGTGTTCACCAAGATCATGTTAGTGCCAGCTGCCCTAGCAAGGTCGCAAGGAAGGCGTTGTTACCCTTACTTCGACGGCTGGTTGCTCAGCGCTCTAACTCAGCCAGCGAGCCTAGATTCTACCCACACGGTGATAGACATTCTAGTTCGACTGGGGTGGATCATCAACCTCAAGAAATCCGACCTGGTTCCCACCCAGGACTTATTTTTTCTCGGGGTGCGGTTCACAACTCAACAGGGTTTTGTTTCTTTGTCACCCGACCGGGTCACCAGAGTACGGGAGATGGACTCTTCGTTCCTCTCCCAGCCCGGACTTGGCTCTGTCTACTGGGTCATATGGCGGCAACTATCTCTGTCATGTGGCGGGCGAGGTTGCGGATGCACCCTATACAGCAAGCTTTGGCGAGTCTGTGGGCTCACTCGGAGGATCTGGAGAAGTGTCTCACAGTCCCCGGGTGGTTGTCTCCTCACCTTCAGTGGTGGACCAATGTTGGTAATCTCTCCAAGGGGGTCCCTTTGGAAATCCTCGACGCCAGCTCTTACAGATCAAACCGATGTGTCCCTCACGGGCTGGGGGGGTGGGGTGGGGTGTGTGTGCGTTCTGGGCAGTCTGCCGATGTCCGGACTCTGGTCTGAAGCCGAGGCCTGCCTTCACATCAATGTCTTCGAACTGAGAGCTGTGTGGTTGGTTTATGAGTGCATGTTCAGGGCCAGGTGGTTCGTCTTCAGTTGGACAACCGTACGGCCATGACTTACATCATGAAGCAAGGCGGCACAGTGTCCCTAGCGCTCCTTCGGGAGACGTGGTAACTTCTTTGGATGCGACCAGTGCGACTGTCAGGTGATTCCTGTTTATTTCCTGGGGCTGGAGAACATGCGAGCAGACGCTCTCTATCGCCGGATCCAGGCCCCCGCACGAGTGGATACTCGACCGGCAGATATCCTGAGTTATCTCCCAGTTGTATGGATCGTTCCAGGTGGATCTGTTTGCGTCCGGCGGACAATCTCACTCAGAACGACGTGCCACACCCCAATCCAAGGATTCAGTGGGTGGCTTGGCCTCTGTCAGGTCTAGCCTCGAAGCACGCGGAATTCCTGCAGCAGTTGCAGACACAATTCTGGCTTCGAGGCGGGATTCGACAAACGTTCAATATGAGGATAGGTGGTCCCGCTATAAGAGCTGGTGTTCAGATAGGGGGATTGCAGATCCCTTTTCTGCGGATTAAGTCCGAGTATTGGAGTTTCTGCAAGCTCGTTTGGAAGAAGGCTTGGCGGCTTCAACCATTCGTGGCCACTCAACTGCTATTTCCACTTTCGACACCCCTGTCGATGGTGCTCTTCTGGGGCAGCACCCTCTTATGCAGTGCTTCTTGGCTGGCGTGGATCGGGTTCGACCTGCTGTCAGGCGTACCAACCGACCTTGGGATTTGTCAGTCGTGCTAGATTGGCTGTCCGGTCCATTCAGTTGTTAACATGGAAGGCCGTATTTCTGGTGGCGGTAACATCTGGGCGAAGGGTTGGTGATTTACATGCTATGTCGGCAGACCTGGCGCTGACTGTGTTATATCCAGGGTGCCGTTCCACTAACCGATCTTATCTAAGATCAATCTTAGAAAGTTACGCCAATTTTACAATCGTCTTAGCTAAAAGATACACCCGTTCCACTAACCGATCTTAGGCCGATCGTAGCCGGTCCCGATCTTACGATCCGATCCAAGCTTAGATCGAGACTCTTTCGTGCGAGAGATAGAGGAATGCGAGGCACGAGTTATCTCCCTTTGCATTGTCTAGCAAATGATAGAAAGTAGTTTACGAACCAACTGAGTGAGTGAGTGAGTTTAGATTTACGCCGCACTCAGCAATAGTCCAGCTATATGGCGGGTCTGTAAATAATCTAGCTAAGATGCATAGCGCTCACTAACAAGCGTTCATGTTAGTGAACTATGTATCTTAGCTATAAATAATCGAAGTCTGGACCAGACAATCCGGTGATCAACAGCATGCGCATCGATCTGCGCAGTTGGGAACCGATGACATGTGTCAACCAAGTCAGCGAGCCTGACCACCCGATTCCGTTAGTGGTCTCTTACGACAGGCATGGGTTATTGAAGTTCAATATTCTAACCCGGACCTTCATGGGTATTTTTCCAACCAAGTGTAAACGTGGAGAAAAAACCTAGAGCAAAATATTAGGGTAGTGGGCACCTTGGTTTCAGGTGCAAGTGCGTGAGAACGCTGAGTATCAAGCATAATATAATAATAATAAATGCATATTTATAATGCGCCTATTCCACATTCTTGGGCATGCTCAAAGCTGTGTACAGATAATTTACACGAGAATATTTACAGCCGAGATTATAAGTAATATACTGAGAACAGGTTTTAAGTCTGGACTTTAAAAATGTCAATTGTGTCAGAGCTTTTAATATGTGCCTGAACCTTGTCAATCAGAATAAACAAGGCGTGACGAGGCTATAACGTATGTAGAATCTGTCAGTGGTCTTGAATAACACGCGGCCTGCCTTTAGAATCCCCCACCAAATATGCGCAGTGAAATCAAGCATATTTGTATCTTTTTGCTTCAGACCATTGTTCACTTCAGGGCTGTCCCTATTCTTAACCATGACGTTGCAATATTGTTGTACAAATGTGTTACACCGACTGGCTCGGTTGTGTTCCCATGACGACAGTGGTCAGACTGGCCTGACATTTGTAAGGCTTCAGTGCAGTGTTTGTTTACATCACAGAAATATACAAATTCATTTCATGGGGGGACTTTAGGGGACGCTCACGGTGAAATGCTCGCTCTTATTTTTCACATAGAATAGGAAAGCCACCATTTTGGTTTCTCTATGATTGATTTTAGCTATCCTAAGTTGGTCATGAGCAACTTAGACTTTGAATCTTAACTTTACGATTGACTTAGGTAAGATTGGTTAGTGGAACGGTATGCCGATCGTAATGTCACGCTAAGATTGGGATTTCAGGGGTTTACGATTGGCGTAGGGCTAAGATCGGTTAGTGGAACGGCACCCAGATCGTGTCTGTATTCGCATCCCGGATACTTACTGTCCGAAGATCGATCATGCTTTCCATGTGACAGCTCCTATCGAACTTCCTACTCTTACCCAGCATTCCACATCGGTGACCTCTGCAACAAGCACTCACCTGTTGGATATCCGTAAGACCCTCAAGGTCTATGTGAAACGAACATAAGGGATCTGTACGGGTACCCATCTGTTCTGCTGTCACAGTGGCGGGAAGGCTGGGATGCCGGCTAGCAAACAGACCCTATCACGCTGGCTTGTATCGGTCATTGTTAGTGCTTCTCAGGCTAAGGGCAAGCCTCCCCCTGAGGGGTTAAAGGCTCACTCGGTCAGGGCAGTGGCTACTTCAAAGGCTTTTGCATCGGCACTGCCCATTCAAGAGATATGCTCTGCCGCTTTTTGGAGCAGGCCTAGCACTTTTATAAGGCACTATCAGCTCGATACACATTCACGTGATCAAACGCGTTTTGGCCGTTCTGCTCTCTCCAGTGGACAGTGTCCTGCCACCCTGACTGAGTGAGTCTTGGTTATCTGGACAGATGACGCTGTTTTCAATTGTGTATAATTGATATATCCGCTGTTGTCATATCTAACTACTTTCGATTTCTCTCGTGAGATAATAGTCGGTTGTCAGTTGGTTTTCCCCCTTACGGTGCTCTTATATAGATTTCATGATGTGGGCGGGGTTTTACTTTCGTACAGTGTGAGAACCGTTTTGCTTGTGAGGTCAGGTCTCAGTACGTTCCTCCCTGTCGGTTACCCTCCCATCATGCCTCTCACGGAAGCTTCGGGACACGTGACAGGTGAGTGTTGTGGCGTCAGTTACTTTCTTCTTAACGATCGCTATTTATGTGTACTTTGACAGAATTCCCTCCTCCCTAGCCTCCGGTCTGGGGAGTCTGAGTTAATGCATATATGTACCCCAAGGACGATCTCTTTGAAAAAGAATTAGCTAAACCTGTAGAGGTTTCCAATTCTTTGAAGAGAGTCGTCCTTGGGGTAGGGCTGCCCACCTCCCTGCAATTCTGTTCACTAATTTGTTCAGCAGAAGGAATGATGATACGGGCCTAGGTGCTTACCTGGTTGGCTGCGCATGTGTAGCAGGGGGGTACCTCCACGTGGTAAAAAGATTTTTATTTATTGTACAATATTTTTATTAAAACATTGATACATCTGTCACAGGAAATTTTCAGCCGCAGAAAATGCATATATGTACCCCAAGGATGATTCTCTTTAAAGAATTGGAAACCTCTACAGGCTTAGCTAAATCTCCTTCCTTCTCTACATGTTTTTATCTGGGATCATAATGGCTCAATTCAAATACTGTGCAACAATTTACTATGTGGAGATGCATCTATTAGGTGACTGGACATGTCATTTGCTGTGCCACAAATTGTTATACAGAGATGTGTCCATTGGGCTCACCAGAAACATTCCATTGTGGGTTCGAATCCCAGATCACCCTGATTATGATTCTAGGTTTGTCAGCACCAAACCCGTGCTCGTGGGTTTCAGCAAAGTGGTAAACACATGCCACCTGATTCACTGTGGGTTCCCCCTGCATACAGCTCCCACACTGTGATATAGCACGACATGCCGGGATATAACTGGCGTAATGTTCAGAGCAGCATTAAATCCAATAAAAGCTATGTAATGTTTGTGTATATACTATGATATTGTTTCTTCCCAGCGGTCCACATCAAGCAGGAACCACCTTCACCTGTTTCATCAAACTGCTCAGAAAATGGCTCCGAGGGATATGTGAGTTTTATTACCTTTTCTGACTTGAAACCATGGTTACAGTGTAATTAACAAGGACCCACGAGTTTGGTGTATATTTCCAATTGCTGATGTTGGTCTTGATGTTGGTATAAGTGCAGTGTGTGACACTTAAATTGAAAAGGGCACCCCAAAGCATTGAATTTGTAAGCCACACTGGAAACAACACCTGAATCCCTGCATATGTTTTCTGTTCACAGAACTCATTGTCGTCATCTGCCAACACCTTCGTCTTTGCATCAACGCCTACAACATCAGAAGATTGTAAACCTACCATCATCATCAACACTGCAGGGAACACCACTCTCTTGCCCAACTTACAGTCGAATGTCGTCAACATCAACTCAATACTCAACTCCAAAATCAAGATACAACCCAAACCATCGGAAGGGGGAACAACTCTAGTTCAGCCGAAATCCCAGGCACCCAGTGTCCAAGGCCAACCACGTAATATTTTGATCCATTTGGGTAGTGTTGCGGGGGTACCTGCTTAAATGACCATTCAGGTTTTCGTTAGATCTGTTTTGGATGATTTTTAATTTTATTCATTTTGTAATTTCTATCCTGTAAGCCTATGCTTGAGATCAAACTTTGGACAGTTAATCTTTGCTTGCTCAGGACACATAAAAGTAAAATTATCCAAGGTAAAACTTGGATGTTTGTAACTGCTGACTTGTTGACTCTGACGAGATCCTCTGTAGACAATACAGTTTCAGACCAATGATTACCATTTTGTTTTGTTACAGCGAAGCCTCTGGTCCTGACAGGGGAAGAGTTTGCCAAGCTGACTGCAGCAGGTACCCTTCGCTTCCAGCCACCGGGGGAGGTGAAAGGAATAGCTGTACCTCCCAAACAGCAGCAGCAGCAGCAGCAGCCAGTGGTGACTACTGTCCAGCCCTCAATGTCCCCACCCCCAGGGATGATTCAGCTGGATGGTGAGGTGGGTGCTTATCGTATTACCAGCTGATGACTGTGTTGAAGTGTTTGTGTAACCCTTTCTTCATAAGGAGTTGATAGAGGGTTTGGGGTGGGGGAGTGACACAGTTGCCATAGTAATGCCAATTAACGTGATATATGACTGATAACGGCTGATCCTGTGATATGTATGCATTCACTCACTCATACACTGACTGTTTCATTCACATCCCATTTCAGGGTAAGGCCTTGAAGAGGCAACAGAGAATGATCAAGAACAGAGAATCAGCAAGCTTGTCTAGGAAGCGAAAGAAAGAGGTGAGTTGTCTCCCTTGTACAGGCTTTCATTACTTCATGTATTCATGTACAAAGCTGTGAAAAATGGATTTAGATTGTGGTGGTAGCTAGGTTGAGAGTAGTTAATATTCCCTGGCATGTAATGCGGGGGGATATAGTCGATGCCTTGTGCGTGCGTCTGTCCGTCTGTAATCATTTTGTTTCCGGAGTATATCTAAAAAACATTCGTAAAAATTTGTAGATATATTAAACAGAACCCAAAGTGGTGCCTTTGCTATTTACAGACTTTTGTCATTTTTATTTTTCCGGTTTCCATGGAAACGATTCCGACTTAGTCTCAAACAAGAAGACAAAGTCATCAATATCCCCATAATGGAAAAAATACTCTTCATGATTATTATTTATTTTTTTAAAATATTTTTATTTCCCTACTCTTCATGATTATGTCTACGAGTTATGATTATGTCAAATATTTAGGTGTGTATATAGAAAAGTGGAAGGAGAGTATTGAAAGTTTTTTAGAGTTCTGCTCCGGAAAAGAGCACTACCACCAATTTCAGGCTAAGTCAAACTTGTTGCCATGGAAACACCAAAAATATTTTATTCAGAATTCCAAAACTACCAAAAGGCACCAGTACATCACCAGACCAATCTATGTGCCGAGTTTGGTAAAGAAATAGTGAACGGTTTTAGAGTTCTGCTCCGGAAAAGAGCACTACCACTAATTTCAGGCTAAGTCAAACTTGTTGCTATGGAAACGCCAAAAAAATGTTTTATTCAGAATTGCAAAACTACCAAAAGGCACCAGTACATCACCAGACCAATCTATGTGCCGAGTTTGGTAAAGAAATAGTGAACGGTTTTAGAGTTCTGCTCCGGAAAAGAGCACTACCACTAATTTCAGGCTAAGTCGAACTTGTTGCCATGGAAACGCCAAAAATATTTTATTTAGAATTCCAAAACTACCAACAGGCACCAGTACACCACCAGATCTATCTATGTGCCAAGTTTGGTGAAGAAATAGTGAACGGTTTTAGAGTTCTGCTCCGGACGGACGCACGCACGCACGCGCGACGCGACGCACGCACGACGCACGACGCATTTTAATACCCCCCGCAAAACGCGTTGCGGGGGATAAAAAGGAGGGGTGGTCTTCATTTCCGGAGCACCTCTAGAAAAACCTTGCAGTATCTTTAAGCAAAACTTGGCAGATATAAGAGGCAGATCCCAAAGTGGTGCCTTTTGCTATTTGCAGATTTTTTTGCATTTTAATTTTTCTGGTTTCCATGGAAACGATTTGGACTTAGTCTCAAAAGGGAGGGTGGGTTTCATTTCCGGAGCATAACTTGAAAACCTTTCAATATCTTTCTACAAGACTTGGCAGATATATCAAACAGATCTTAAAGTGGTGCCTTTTGCTATTTACAGAGTTTTGGCATTTATATTTTTCATGATTTCAATGAAAACGATTTGGACTCAACACTCAGATGATTTTTTCTTTCAAATATGTCGGGGCTGGGGAGATTTGTCATCTTCTGATGACTCTTGTATTTTTCAAAGTATATGATATTGTAAATCATTTGTCATTATTTGGTTTATAGATTTTTTCTCTGTAAGTTTCAAGTCGGTGATCTAAATTTTGGAAGGAAAAGATTGTGAAAATTCTGAACATGCTGCACTTTAAACAGTATTAGCATATTTTTATTCATGCCAAACCATTCCAGATGACATATATGAAAAAGAACAAATATTTAACTTCATAAATATTCTTTGTTTGTGTTTTGACTGACCCAGTATAAATGGTTAACAAGAATGAAGATAAGTGTGTGACATACTGTGGTTAACCTGTGTTTCAGTACTTGACGGGGCTGGAGAGCCGCCTCAAAGGCTTCTCGACCGAGAACCAAAAACTGAAGCAGGAGAATGACACTTTGAAGAGGAAGATGTCCGCCCTGCAGATGGAGGTAGGGATACTTGACGCTGCAGTAAGTGTGACCCCATCTCATCCTATCCCAACTGTGTACATCGGTATTCATGCTGTTGATCACTGGATTGTCTGGTCCAGACTCGATTATTTACAGACTGCTACCATGTAGCTGGAATATTGCTGAATGTGTCGTTAAACAACAAACAAACAAATCTCAAATATATAAATCTTAAACATTATTACAGGAGACGGCTGAGGTCTTTGATGCACTAAATGTGTTGAAAAGAGTAACTCTCCCCCCAATGCTTGTCATTTTTTTGGATGAAATGCAAAGGCAGTGTGTGTTTTATCATACAATGTCTATTATTACTTGACCCTTCCAAATATGTGTTGTATTTGTATGACTCTAGACAGTTTTATGTGTTTTTTACAGAATGAAAAGCTGAAGAAAGCTTTCTCACTGTCCCCAAACAAGAGGACATGTTTATTAGCAGTACTCTTTTTGTTCAGCTTCAACATTGGACCAATCAGGTAGGTTATCCAAGTCACATGACCACATATATCCTTTTCATATTGCTCAAAGATGGTTTATGGCAAGAGAATGATTTCTTGTTGATATTAATCACTTTTGAAGGTTGAACTGTTGTTAACTGGTCATGGTAGATTTTTTATGAAGATTTTATGTACACGTTGTTCCCCCATTAAAACTGTTAACAATACAAACCACTGTGCTCTGGCTTGGTCCCAGTGAGATAAAATTGAATGAGTACTGAGTTGATTGAGCGATAATTCTGGTTTATTGTCAAAGCAATTTTATGACCCAACTTCTTTCCTTGCAGTAATTTGTTTGCCAGCCAGACCATTCCAGTCCCCAACCCTTCATTGGTAAATGTACACAAGAGCAGACAACTCCTGTCAGTACAAGAAGGAGAAGAGCTCTCCTATAAAGAAAACCTGAACCCTCGCTGGAAGCATGCAGGAGACAACATGTTTCGGGAAACTCCAGCAGTTGTCGGACGAGATGGGATGGACACACCCAACAGGCAAAATGAACCAATCAGATTTTGAAGCACTCATGTGTCCCACCTTCTTCAATAAAACTGAATCAATTAGGTTTGTATGATTGAAGCTGATTATCCGAGATAGAGGCTGTTATACAGACATATGTTATGCATCCATTGTGTACATTTGTGCTGGATGCTAATTTCTGCACGACGTAAGACCCTGAGACTTCCACCCCTACCCCCTCCGCTCTGCTTCACTTCACTCTGTTACCAATCTATTCTGTGAGTTGCACCATTGAGTATCAGGAAGTTAGAAGATGTCCTCTTCTCTCCCCTCCCCTCATATAATCTCCCTCTCCCTCCTCAATCCTCCGCTCCACCCCTCAATCCACTCCCTCCACCCTTACCCCCTCCGCTCTACTTCACTTCACTCTGTTACCAATCTATTCTGTGAGTTGCACCATTGAGTATCAGGAAGTTAGAAGATGTCCTCTTCTCTCCCCTCCCCTCAAATAATCTCCCTCCACTCCCTCCACCCCTACCCCCTCTGCTCTGCTTCACTTCACTCTGTTACCAATCTATTCTGTGAGTTGCACCATTGAGTATCATCCAGGAAGTTGGAAGATGTCTTCATCCACCCAGGTTATTGCGTTGACTCATGTTCAGCTGTGTCCGTCTTGCAGGTTAGCGGAGCAGCTAGCTGGCTGGATGATTCAGCATGAGGAGGAGAAGAAGAAATCTGAGGCCAGCAAACGTCAGAAGAAGAAGAGGAAGGAGATACGGCCAGTGAAGACGTTGAAGCGAGCGCTCCGAGGGGACTTCAACCCCAACATACTCAGGTCAGTGTTTGTTCAGACACCAGCAGCATGGAAACAGTTAATCATTGATTAAGGTCAAGGTCGTGAAGTAATGTTCTGGAACTGGAAGAACATGGTGCTTTGTGGAACAAGTAAGAACTTTGAGTAAGTGGAAAGAAAAGGGATTGCTTTTGGTTTGTCAGAGTTTTAGACTGTTAATAACTTTTGTTGATATCTTTGATATCAACACACTCAGATGGAATTCTCTGTAGAAAGATGGCTTCTTGTCTGCAGGTCTAAGGAATCCGGCTATCATGTTCAGGTGTTTGATGGCTCTGATGGAAGGAAGGAATTCCTTGACGCCATCCACAGAAGAAACGACACATTCTATGTGCTGTCATTTAACACAGTGAGTACTCCATCTCTCAGGGCTGTGGGGTAGCCTGATGGTTGAAGTGTTTACCACATCGTACAAGGAGGCACATTAATGATGAAACACCTGATCTCACTTCCTGTGCTGATGGGCTTGTAGAGGAGACTGTTTTAACAGCCACACTATCTGATGAATACATTAAAACAAATTGGCTTTGCTGATTTTCTTGTAGAGAGAGGGGCGGTGGGGTAGCCTAGTGGTTAAAGCCTTCGCTCGTCACGCCAAAGACCCGGGTTCGATTCCTCACATGGGCACAATGTGTGAAGCCCATTTCTGGTGTCCCCTGCCCTGATATTGCTGGAATATTGCTAAAAGCTGTGTAATACCATACTCACTCACTCACTCTTGTAGAGAGGACTGTTTTAACAGTCACACTATCTGAATAAATGTAAACAAAGTGTCCCGAACCAAATCGCTATGTGAGTGTTGCTTCCCTTCCCCCAGGACTACCTGCTGGTGCCAGCCTCTGAGCACAACAAGACCATGCGGCCTCGGATGTCTCTTGTCATGCCTGTCGTCACAATCAATGGTGAGTGTACACAAGCCTATTGCAGGCTTTGATAGCAACATATATAAAGAACATAATAAAACTGTTTAGAAGACCAGACCAAATGAAATTTATGAATAGACTGAAAGGAAATTTACAGAGTTCAAGCTTCAGAGGTGATTATTCATTAGCAACTATAAGGGGTATTTTGCTACAGCAGATTCCAGGTTGTCCTGAGTATCCTGTGCTTGTATGAGATGACAAAATTGAGTTTGTGGTCAGGCTATTAATTCAGATGATTTGGAAGACAGTTGGTCACTGTACCCCGACGACACACAGAACAACCACGAGAATTGTTTCAGTAATGTGATGTTAAATGCTGTTTGACCCGACCCGACCTGACCCGACCCGACTTTGTCTGACCTAACCTCACCTTACTTCACCTTGCCTCACCTTACTTCACCTCACTCACCTCGCCTTATTTCACCTCACCTGGCCTCACCACACCTCACCTCGCCTCGCCTCGCCTTACTTCACCTCGCCTCACCTCGCTTCACTTCACCTCACTTCGTCTTGCCTCACCTTACTTCACCTCACCTCACCATGTGACTGTTATATGTTGCAGAGACGATGCAGCCTCCACCAGGAAGTGTAGGAATGATGCAGATCGACTGTGAGGTGCTGGGCACACAGCTCATCCATGTCCACAAATCTGTCATCCCGCCACCCTCCCCGGTGTGGAACTCCACTCACAACGCGGGATACAGCGACGACGCAAGGCGGGACCAACAATAGCCGCACATGGGGTATACGTCTTCATGCTTATACCATGTGTGTACATCATAAAATCTTTTATAACACTCCAAAAATTTCAGATAGCTGACATTTATTGTTGAAATTTTGGCTGTTCCATTTTCAGCGCATTGTTACTTACAACCTCGAACAAATCCCTAGTACTTAGCCACCTTCGTTACACAGAAACATACTGCTATATTGCATAAAGCACTTGAATGTTTTCCAAAAATTTGTGAGTCAAGTTTTTGTGACCAATTTGCCAATATTTAGAAAGACATTAATTAGCAGTTCAAGAAAGGTAAAATGAGTAGATTGTTAGTTAAGAATATCATTTTAGAAATATTTGTAACATCAGATTCTTATTTTACAAGCTATCTGCCTTTAGCAACAGGTTTGCATACTTGGTGACAGTATTGAAAAATTGTGAATGTTTTTGTCTTACAACAGAGCACAAGTCGTTAAATATTTATGAATATTGTATGATCATGGGAGATTAATATTTGGTCTCAAATAGACCTTACTGGTTCCTGCAATGGGATGGCATGGAATTATTGTGTCTTATAAAGTGACGTGTGGATGACAGGACAAGGTGAATACAGCCCATTTTGATCCACATCATCTCCAAAAATTTAAGATAATACTAATTAATAATAATTAAATTGTCACGAAAGGTACCGATTATGTTGGTGAATGAGACCAAAAGTTTGTTCATTTCAACACTTGCACGTGTTGAACTTGTTTACCATTTGACGCCTCTTAAAGTTAGACATACTGACATTTTACAATCATTTTAGCTATTCACATATGCTTGAATATGCAGAAGTCTTAAACATGCATGGTTCGAATAAACCTTATAATTTTCATACTATATCTAAGTTTTAAGTTTTCTAACTTTAAAATTTGACATTGCCAGTGATCCAATAGGGCTCTTTTCCTGTACTGTCCCAAGTCACTTGTTTGAAATACCTCGAAAATATGGGATTAGTTGTTAAGAAAACATTGCAACAGTCACGGAAAATACTGGTATAATAATTGTTGAAGTTGAGAGAAATCTTGTTTTATGATTGTTGTGTTTTTGTTACCAAAATGGTTTCTGCTGGAAATTAACCAATTTTGATATTTTGAAATTTTAAACAGTGAGTTGTGTTCAGTGTTGAGTTTATAAAACTTAGATTACCAAACTCTGGTTAGAGTGAGCCTTTTATTTCACATTGATAAAGCAGCTTTTGAGTTTAAGAGGGAATGTAGTTGGCATGTTGTTTGTCAGTATTGATTATTTCATGGAATACTTATTGTAATAATTGTACACAGAATACTGTGTTATGGCAGTGGAGTGTATTATTGCACCTTCTCGAAGTATATTAGTGGCAATCACTACTTAGAATGAGTTTTTGCCTCTTATTTTGCCATTAATACTAAAACTGCCACATTATGTCGAGATATTATTTTTGAGATGTCATGCATCATTTCCCTCGACTAGTCTATTGCTTAGTGCTTCTGTGAAACTTGATAAGTCATGGCAGTGCTCAAGATTACATCTTCCACATGACATTATTTTCAATATAAATGAGTAATTCCACTTTGAATGTAGGTAAATGTCCTCAGCAGTTAGTGCAGAATTCTGTCATCAGGCATAAAAAAAAATTCATCATTGGTGCGAATCCGATATTAATACTGATTATATATCTAGGTTCAGTCACTTGGGGATTTGATACCACATCAAGCTGAAATACTCTCCAAATTCACTCACTAACTCTGTCATGATATGGTGTTTCTGGATTGGATCAACAGGTCTGCACTGAGGAGGTTTCACCGTTGATAGTTTCCCATGATGCATTGCCATGGAGTATCAACAGAGAGTTGATATTAATTCATCCATTCCATAAAATTGGTTAACATTTTATGTCTAAGCATGCAAAATTATACAACCCTAATTCAGTTTATTTCTCACTGAGCAAGATGTTGACAGAGATAATTCACGACCTTTGTAAGGGACCAATGAGATATACCAGCTCTGACAAAGTATTACTAAACTGTTTAGAATTTTAATAATGTCAAAATGTTTACACATCAGACATCTGCCATGTACTGTCAGTTGTTTCTATCATCAAAACATGACATTAAATATGTGTAAATCTAGTTTTGGAATATACTTATATTTCCAAGTCACAGTAACCATTTATTTCCATGTCACAGTAACTGAGACTGTTGAATGCATATAGTTAGTTACCCAATTTGGATTAGATATTTTTGTAAATATAGTAAAACAATTGGGTTATGTTTCTCTGTTTATACCTCTTCAGAAACTAATGGCTCAGCTTTAATGGTTATTTATGAGTGTTGCCCATGGCCATTGTTTTATATGTGGTTTTGACTTGAGGATTTAACTCAAACTTTAATTCTTTTGTGAATGGTAGTGTGAGATTTTGAAGTTTAACTTCTCTCAATATTATGTGTAATGTTTGAAAACTTTTTCAAAATATTTCTTCCCATTTGCTAATGTTTATCACCAGGCTTTCTGTACATTGTAGTAGTTTAATAAGCATAATAGAACATGTGTTTCTTTCATAAAGCACACTTTGGCCATCAGTCCTCTGAGGATCTGGGTTGGAATGGATTTTCAGCAACCCATGCTTGTCGTAACAGGCGACTAATGGGATTGGGGTGGTCAGACTCGCTGACTGGGTTGACACATGTCATCGTATCCCAATTGCGTAGATCGATGTTCATGCTGTTGATCCATGGATTCTCTGATCCCTGGTCCAGACTCGATTATTTACAGACCGCCGTCATATAGCCGGAATATTGCTGAGTGCGGCATAAAACTAAAACTCACTCACTCAGGATCATATGGTCAGGTTCATTGACGTGGTTGATGCTTGTCACTGTATCCAAATTGCATCAATAGATGCTCATGATGCCAGTCACTGGATTGTCTGGTCCAGATTCAAATATTTGCTGCTATTATGAAGCTTTAAACTAATAATCAATGGCATTCACTGAGGATATGCTAGACATGGCGAAATTGATGTGATATGAGTTTAAATTAATCAAGATACTTGTCTTGTAATCATCTTTTTATAGAATCCATGACCAAATACCTATCGCCACCTGTCAATCAAACGACATAAGTGACCAATCAGTAAGCCTGAAGTGACACAAATTCTGGCTGTGTGTGAAAAATAATAGCTACCTCCAGGGTCCTGAACCACAAAGGATATATTGTGTTACAAATTATCGTAAGTCTAAATTTTATCTTAAGCTAAGATGTCATAGCACTGTGAGTGCTTCTTGGACCCTGGTCAATCGTTAGGATATATTTTTTAAGATGTTTTGTACAATGCAATATATAAATCTCAAACTTTAAGGAAATGCACAATGAAACAGAATTATTTGTAAATAACTGAATAGTTTAGGCCTATTGATAGACACAAAGAGGGGATATGGATACTGTTTAATAAAGTTAGAGAACACTGAATTATTTATATGGCTGAGTTAGTCTGTAATATCTTGTTGAAAACATCAGTGTTTGGGACTGTAACATATCAAGCTAGTAGAGGTGTTCAGGCTAATAGAGGTTAGGTGGCCTGTTGTCACCTTCCTGCTTGTGTGATTAATTACACATTGATAGGTTCAAAGTATGTAACGAGTGCTTCGAGTTGGGGCACAGGTTCATTGTCCGAGACTGAAAATGACCCTAGCATCTCTCAATGGTACAAGTAAAGTCAAAAGACCACTTACTCATTTTCTTGAATGCTTCACAACATCTACAACCACCATGGCGAACTGACCAAGATTATGCAGTTGTATATAAAGTGTATTTTTATTTATATGTATATATTGTGGTGCTATATTTTGTGTATATTTTAATTCTTATATCATTCCATATTCAGATTTACAACTGGGGTATCTTTTGGAGTGTTTGAAGGATATCTGTCTTTGAGTTGAAGACTTTTTGTGCCAAGATAATAACATACCAATTTTAAAAATTCCAGTTTTATGCTGACTAATTTGAATATTATGGTAGTGCAGGACAGCAGTGTGTTATTGAGATGAAAGTGCCTTTTCAGACAGTATCTATAGTGTCTGCTTCACAACTGTGCAATTATGAAACAACATGCCACTATAGGCAAAGTAACTGCAATCTGACCGTCTTACACTAGGTTTTGTTCAGTCACTGATTTTGGCACAAAAAGTTGGGTTTTGTGAGTATTTGTAACAGGTTGTCCATGTTGTGTATTAGTGCTATTGAAACTAATCTATTGTGGTTTTCATTTTGCTTCATCATAATCTGTCCTTGGTCACTGAAGCTTTGACAAATGTATACTTTAATATTGGGATCAAAGTAACAGGAATTGGAAACCAATTATGTTCGATTATTTACTCATGAAATCCAGTTTGATAATCATTTTGTGAAAAAATTGTAAATACTTGGAAACCTACACAAGTAGCAACATAAATTGTGATAATGTCGACACCATGCAAGTTGAAATATGTGTAATAATTGTGCTAGTGTGATTTAGAAATGAAAAGTACTTTTTGCATTTTTAATATGATGTTTAATATATTCATTACGCAGTTAGAACCAATCTATGTAGGTCCCGGATGCCCGTGGACGTAGCGCAGTCATTGTTTGTATAATGATCTTTATTTATGTGGAACTTGTTTATGTGCGATTGATTGATTGATTGACAATGCAATGTTGTAAATGTTTCAGCTAAACTGATTTTTCGTAATTTCATCAGTCAAATCTTCGTGTTGTGAAGTTTGCTTCATTGTAGTGATGTGCTCCATGGTAGTGACGTCTGCTCCATGGTAGTGACGTCTGCTCCGTTGTAGTGACGTCTGCTCCATGGTAGTGACGTCTGCTCCATGGTAGTGACTTCTGCTCCATTGTAGTGACGTCTGCTCCATGGTAGTGACGTCTGCTCCATTGTAGTGACGTCTGCTCCGATGTAGTGGCATCTGCTCCATGGTAGTGATCTTTGCACCTTTGTATTAATATGATGGAAAGAGCATTGTCTCTAGGGACATGAGTTTGGTGATGTGTGTTCGATTGTATGTATGTCTGATGTAGCCAGGTATTCAGTGTGCAGCTAGTATTACTTGGATCTTTGTACAGTGTGTACCATGTTCAATTTTTAATGTGGAAGATTTCAGATTCTGTCACCATTGCTCAAATCATGCAAATATATAATTCAGACCACAGCCGGCATTGACATTAGCAAGCATTCTTCCTTGTGGCGTTAACACCAGGAGCATTATTTACTGTAGAGCTCATACAACCTTGAGATGGCCCATAAGGATCTTACGAATTATTGAAACAGCCCAGCAATATCATACCTCACCAACTCTCTGTGCCTTTCAGTGTCAGGTGACGTGAACAGAAATATTTTTGTCTCAATGCACCTATTATGTGTTTCATAATTTGGGTTCACAGAGCTCAAGGATTTGGTTCAACTGTACTCAGCATGGCTAAGTTTCTAATTTCCCTCAAATAACTTTTTCCTGACCTTCTAGTTCAAATTTTACAATGCATGTCCATTTCAAAGTTAATGGTAATTACACAGTGACACAAGTTTCACACAGAGTATTGTTTCCGTGTTTAGACCTTGGAAGACGTCACTGTTTCACTGAAATAATGCCAATGCCATGTTTGAATCTCTTACTCACTTTTGGAGAGAGTGAGCCACCCAGCATCTTCCTGTTATATCATATGTGACAGTTTGCTATAAAACCATAATTAGGATATACACATTGGTTGAAAGAACTCGGTAAGAAAAGTGCTATCATCATGATTATTGCTCTGTGTTTTCACCATCCGTTATGTGTTACACTCATCTCTCGCTGTAGTTTGTTGTGGGGCTGTTTTGATTTGCTTGAGTGAAGTAAACGTCTGTGAAAATGTGTGGAAATTAGACTTTCATTTGATCATGAACAGTTGTGAGTCCAGAAACTTGGGAAAATTCATGTGTCTTCAGACCACGAAACATTGTGTTCGTGATCTCTTGAAGGCTAAAAGTTGTGAATGATGAGAAACCAATTATTTTGACATTTATTAAACCATGTAATCAAACTATTCCACTCATCAACTTACAAATTTCAGATCAGTTTGTCTTCATCTTTGATTCTCCCTGGTTTATATTTCCATACTATATACCTTGAAACAATTAGCAATCCTGGATTCATTTTGATGTGTGTTCCAATGAAATGACACTGAATAATTGCCATCCAATCAAATTACATGTATGAGCAAACAAATTTGTGTGCTAAGTCAGCAATTGGAAACATGGAGTGGCAACATCGGAAACAGCTATGGTGGTACAAATGTACGATAATTGTCGTAATTCCCTCTTTCAGCAATACCCAGGATAAGTGAGGAGATGTGTGTCTTTCCCAGCGTTGTAGTTATGTAATATGTTGTTTGTACTCACTTTGAAATTTCTATTCTTGACTTCTATTGGAAACCATGTTTCGGAGGGGTGTGGAAACCTTGGCAGCATGCTGCAGTAAATTATTTATGCCGCGGCTATGATCACATGGTAAGACTGAGTAGAACCATCAGGCTGCCATGTTGTTCCAGAATGTCACATTTCAGGTTTGGGGTCCTGGGGCACTGGAAGGACAAAATGTCTGTACAGAGTGTAGAATTAGGGTTATGATAATGTCATATGGAATAAGGTTTAATATTGGTGATTAAATGTTTTGCTGAAAATATGACCTTGAAACATTCTGAAATGTGTGAATCCACGATGATAAGGTCAAATGAGCATTCCTTCTCCTGTCTCATGAAATTTGTCATAATGCATGCAAGGGCAATCAAGTTTATTTTGATTTTTACATGTCCCTGGCATTTTGTTTTATGCATGAATATATGTTGGAGCTAAATATGTAAGGAATGCTTTGGTATGAACTAGTCAGTTTAATAAAAACATAGACCCTTAACCAACCAGAACTGATACGATTTACCACATAATTTGAACTACTATTATGATGCATATAGTATATATAGTCCTATTTACTCCTGGGAATATTTAGTAATTTCAGTTAGATAAAAGATATGTTTGGGGTACTAAGAGACCGTTAATAATTTATGGCTATGGGGGTGATGATGATTTTTATGGAGAAGCATGTACAATGTGAATGACCCCCCTAAAATTTATGCACAAAATAAGTGACCCCCTGCATGTCATGTACAAAATCAATGACCCCCACCTCCCTTTCCCATAATTTATAAGCATAATTTTAAAATATTTTTATGTACAAAATTGCTTTCCCCCCCATACATGTGTACAAACTTGATGACCCCCTACCTACCCAGAACAAAATGTGTGCCCCCCCACCAAAAAAACAAAAAAAAAAATCATTATCACTCCCCCCTAGCTATAAATTATGAACGGACCCTAAACACACAGTTAAGCACAAACTGTAAATGTGCACTATATTAGTTAATATCTCTTTGCAGGTTTTTTTGAACTAACTATTGTTTTCTACTCTGAGACAAGGCTTCTGTATGATATTGTCAATAACAAGTCACATCAGAAGATAAGGGGATCGTTTGCCATATGGGTAAAATGTGTTGTGTTCATTGTTGGTGTTCACCCACCATGATATGGCTGTCTGAAAGCAGAATCAAACCAGACCCACTCACTCATAGACTAGTGCTCTCATCCTGTAACTGGTTTGTCTGCTCCAGGTTTGAACCCATGTTGGCTTCAACTGTGTCATTTTCACTACTCTGAACTCAATATAACCCAGATGAAATTCAGCTAACCATACTTAGCCTAAATAGGTAAAGATCATGAATATTTTGGGAATCTACTGATGAAATTGTGTGCTCACATTTCACTACAACATGTCCCCCAAATATTCATGAACCTTGACTATGTTCAGCACATATAACCATTCCATAACTGAGGTGGTAAAGGGTTAATATTTACTCTAGAGGTATGAATGTTGAATCTCAGATGGAGATCAAGCTACAACGAAATGCGACGCATGTCTATGTTCAAATAATCTGTCGACTTTCTACTTTCAGCATTTTTGTTTTGTGTTTACGAGAATACATACTGAACCAAAAAAGGGTGGTCCCATGGATATTTCGGGGGTAGTTTTGGGAATATTGCTCAGCCTTCACTAATCAATATCCCCCAAATATTCATGATCCTAAACTTTCTTTGTTCAGTAAGATATGTATTTTGAGACTTGGTATTGTTTTCATATTTTCACCAATTTTCACCATCTAACATTTGCATCGAGACAGGCATTTATTTGGCTTACTGTGCGCAGCTGTGAGGATCATCACTGTATATTGACAATTTGTGTTAGTTGCAACTAAGCCATGTAAACTAACATTTTTTAATATATTTCTGAGGAAATAAATGTCCATGGAAGTTTGATGTGTGTTTCTTTTTGTTTAACACCACCCCCAGTAGTATTCCGCCAGTCGTGTCTGTATCTGACGTCATGTGATTGGCATGAGCATCGATCTGTCAGGGAACCAGTCTACCCGATGACACATAACAGCAGGCACTGGGCTGTAGTTGCAGGGTAGCGCCAGCGCAGCATACCCAGGGAACCAGCCTGTATGATCCTCAGGCCCTCGTGTCTTTGCGAGGATTAGAGATTTTATAAAATATATACAAAAATTTGAGGTGACCCCCGACTCGAAATGCTTCACAGTATAATACATTATGATGTATTGTACTGTGAAGCATTTCGAGTCGGGGTCATCTCAAAAACAATATGTTTTTAATCATTAATCCTCGCAAAGACACGAGGGCCTGTGGTATGATCCTCTCTTACGATAAGCATGGCTTGTAATTTTGAAGACCATATTTATCGGGATCCTCTTGGGGCTTCTGTAATGTTAAACAGTTGGACTCCATGTAATGTTTATGAAGAGTGGCTACTTGTAGATCTGAAACACTGTGTGATGGTCGTCTACCGTAAACACATAAATGAAAAGTATAGTGAGTGAGTGAGTTTAGTTTTACGCCACACTCAGCAATATTCCAACTATATGGCGGCAGTCTGTAAATAATCGAGTCTCGACCAGACAACCCAGTGATCAACAGCATGAGCATCGAACTGCGCAATTGGGAAACGATGACATGTGTCAACCAAACCAGCGAGCCTGACCACCCGATCCCGTTAGTCGCCTCTTACGACAAGCATGGGTTACTGAAGGTTCACTCTAACCCGGACCTTCACGGGTCTGAAAAGTATACTTGACCTGGGTATTGAAAGGAAGCTCAACACACTTCAGGTCCACAGTAAAATCAGATACTATTGGCATCAAAACATTTTCAAACAAATACTTGAACTGAAACCCATCTGGACATACAGAACATCTTATGAAGACTTGGGGAATGCATTATGATATGGCATTTAGTCTGGACAACCCATACACACACAAACACATTGAGAGGGTGTCACATGATCACATATTTGCTTGTGATCACAGAACATCACCATCCTCGGCATTCTGAACTCTGCAATAGCACCCGTTACAGCTCGTTTAAAACTGGAATCTTGCACAGATTGAGTGTTAATGTTTGCCTGTAAGTGGGCTAACGTGTCGGCATGTGTTGGGCATGGGTTTGAATCCCGCATCTGGTTTATCAGCACCTTCGACAGTCGTAACGTTACGATAGCTTTGTGAAACGGGGCCCAGGGCCGCGTTTCACAAAGTGATCATAGGGCCACGACTGTCGCACCTCCAATACTGGGCCTAGATTTTCGAAGCTCTCTTAGCGCTAAGATAGTAAGTTAATGTTAATGAATGGCACTTACGACTATCTTAGAGTTACGACAGTAGTAGCGCTAAGATCGCTTCGTGAAACAGGACCCAGTGCAGTAAATAGCCAACACCACTGTGTACTCTGGTGCATTCCTCCTGTATCAAGAGAAAACAGGACTATCTACTAAGGACTATCCTGTCAACTATTGGTGTGTCTGGTTACAAAACACATACACCATGTTGATTAAAAGCATAACTTATTCCCACATCAGGTGGCAGGTTCGACATGCGCGAAACAGGCTGCCAGAATGACACATAATTCATTGGCACAATTATCACAGTAGGATTAAAACATAACTCAAATATTTTCATTCAATTGGTAAGAAAGGTTACTCAATATAACCTCTGTCACACTCTACTGCGTTTCCACGGAGTTGGCACGGCGTTGTGAACTTTCTCAGCGCCGTGGGATCGGAGTAAAATTCTGAAAAACGTTGCACTTATACTTCAGATTTTCACAAGATGGATATGTCACGGTATCTTTTGGCGAATGAGGCGTTTCTACGCATTCTCACGGTGTTCTGTTTTGTAGTTGACTGTCTCTCACAGAGTGCTCACGGCGTGCTAGGAGTTCTCAGTGTGCGTCCACTACGCTGACGACGTTCCCAAAACGCATGCATATAGGCAACAGTAGCCCGGCCTGCTGGCGTACAACAATCATGGTGAAATAAGGGTGACAAAGATGAGAATGCATTTATACTATTTTTATGGGGTTGGCTCACAACGCACAGGCAATCCCCTGCAAACGCCATGCCAACGCTGATTGACGCGGTAGAAGCTCCGTGGGAGAGCAATGATCGCCGTGGCAGCTCCGTGTGGTGGCTGTGAGAGCGCAGTAAAACAAATAACACTCCGTGTTAGCACCGTAGACGCGCCTTAATGACGCAGTAGAGACGCTGTGCCATCACTAAGGACTCTACCACTGCGTCCATACTGCAATCATGTGTTCAGTTGTTTAACCTCTATGTTGGCCCGGGTGTATATGGAAGACTAGGATAGTCCCATGACCTTCCAAGGGTGAAGGGTCATTGCCATTTTTTTCAGAGAGGTTAAAACCCAAAGATATCCCCAGAAGCTATCTGCTTGTTTAGTTTGAACCTATCCCGCCATTGCCGTCATTGTTCAGGGGTCCGATGGTGGCCAAGGTGTTCCAGGCCCTTCTGGAAGTTAAAATGCTTCAAAGAAATAATTGGTTGTATGATTATAAATAATTCATGAAAGTCGTTTGAGTACTGACGTGAGGCAATTAGTTTGCGTGATCTGGACTTTTCTCCACGAACAATTCAACTGGATTTCTAAGATTTTACATAATGAATATTTCACTATTTTATACCCATTATTTACGGTAACATGGATTAGCTAATACCACATTGCCGGGAGAGTCACATTCATACGATCACTCAACCATTGCCGGCGCTACACGTCGCTGTAGACAGTTGCATCCTGTACGTATGCCAGACGTCTATCATAATGGGTTCGAACCCTAAGTTGCAGTTGATCACTGGATTGTCTGGTCCAGGTTCGATTATTTACAGACCGCCGCCATATAGCTGGAATATAGCAGTGTGCGGCGTAAAACAACAAACCAACCAACCAGCCAACCTAATTTGCAATTTTTGTCTTGATACAAGATGTATATGAAGTCTTGTTTGAAGCAGCGAGAATCTCTTGGAACTGGCATAAAGCCCTATTTCCCCTTAAAACGGCGTTAAACCCATACTCACTCATGGTTTCCCATAGATTAATTTCTGATCAGCATGTAAAATTAGGAACCAAATAACGCTCGCACTTCGAGACTGAGTGAAACAGTCTGGAATACCTCACCTCATCCAGGTTTTGGGGTGGTGGGGGTAGCCTAGAGGTTAAAACGTTGGCTCGTCACGCCGAGGACCCGGGTTCGAATCCCCACATGGGTACAATGTGTGAAGCCCATTTCTGGTGTCCCCCGCCGTGATGTTGCTGGAATATTGCTAAAAGCGGCGTAAAACCACACTCATTCACTCGTAGGGGCGTCACCCATTGTCCCATGTTGGGATTCCAAGTATACGTTATATTCACTAAACTAAACTCAGTCAGTCAGTCATCTAGTTTTGGTTTGATTTGTTCATTAGAAAGGGGAGATAATTCGAAGTGTCGACTTCTTTTACAGGCAGTAAGAATGCAACGAAACATTAAACACAAAATCTATTTATAAATTATATGCACATTCTGAATTCAATGCTGATAAGATTGGATGACCATTGTTTTTTATCATGGAATAGCCAGGAATACGTCAGTCCAGCTGTATAACCAGGAATATGTCAGTCCAGCTACATAGCCAGGAATACGTCAGTCCAGGTATATAGCCAGGAATACGTCAGTCCAGCTATATAGCCAGGAATATGTC